AAAGATTACTAAAGAATCCAAGAATTTGGTCAAGACATAAATGGTTATTTAATGAATTCGCTGGAAATTAAAAAAAAAATTGTAGCAAACAAGATGAAATCCAAAATAACATTTAAATTACCTGTTGGAGTGGTTATAGCAATCTCCAAAGATCCTGGAAATAAGAAATGATAATTGGTTAAAATCTACCAAAGGGTAAGCAAATACTGCTTTATAGTTAACTTGTTTTCTTCTCTTTGTCCCTGGAGCACAGAAACCTGATATTATGGTTTGGATGCAAGGTGTCCCCCCAAAAGCTAACATGTGAGACAATGCAAGAAGGTTCAGAGGAGAATTGATTGGGTTGTGAGAGTCTTAACCCAATCAGTGAATTAATCCCTGGTGGGATTAACTGAGAGGTAACTGAAGTGTGGGGTGTGGCTGGAGGTGGGAATTGGGGCGTGGCTTTGGAGTATATATATTTTGTATCTGTAGAGTCGAGTCTCTCTCTGCTTTCTGATCACCGTGATGTGAGCTGCTTCCCTCTGCCGCCCTCTCCCTCATGATGTTCAGCATCACCTCGAGGCCCCAGGAATGGAGCTGGCCTTCTATGGACTCTGAGCCCTCAAATAAACGTTTCCTCCTTTATGATTGTGCTGGTCAGATCCTTTAGTCACAGCAGCGAAAAAGCTGACTGAAACACCTAACTTTCACTTAATTGATTCACACATCTTGATTGCCCATTCCCCCGTGTCAGGCACTGGGCTGGCTCTGGAGCAAAAGAGTCAATAAAACTACATATAGTTGCTGCCCTCAAAAAGAGGACCAACTCATGGATAGACAGAGAAGATGAAAAGACACACAAGCAAATGGATGACTTTTGCCATGAAATGAGAAACACAGATGGCCCGAGAACCTCTAACAGGTTCTAACAGGTGAGCTGACCTGGCCAGGGAGCTCCCCTCCCATGCCCTTCTGCCTGGCACAGGTCCGTCCTGGATGAGGTGCTCAAAGACAGTGACAACCTGACACTAGCCCACTCCCAGGCCTGGAGTGGCAGACCCTCGTGCTGCCAACATGTGCAGTGTAGGGGCAGAGGCATTACCAGGCGAAAGAGTCTCTTCCTCTGGAGTGAGAGTTGTGCCTGGATGTGAAACATGGAGATGTGCGTCATTCCATCAGGAAGTTTTGCAGAAAGGCCCAAGTCTGCCTTTACTGGGGTCTCATGTACTAATCTGAGTTCTTGGAAAAACGGGGACTAATTATTTCCTGTCTTCCCAAATAAGAATTTAAGTATCCAAGTTAAAACACATGCACTGTGATAGTATAAATTAAATCCTGATATGATGCAAGTTTATATTTGTGTCGGGCACAAGAACATACGTATTATTTGATTCCCTTTATAAGATTTTAGTCCTTTTGAACAAAAGACACTGATGGTGTTCCCATCTGCCTGATTCAGAGTCCTTGGGAAGAATGCCATTGTTGTTGAGGGAGGGAACACAGAAGCATCTCAAAGGGACATCAAGGTAAGTAAATGACGTTTTGGTTCCATATTGTTGCAGTTAGAAAGTCTGGTGACATTAAATGGCTTTTCTGAGCATTTCTGTAGCTGTTGGAGCACCTGCTAGCATTTCCTGGATTGTCAATGTGGCTCTTCTATGAGGGTTACCCCTCCCATCCTGTGTACTCTACCTCCAAACATTTTTCTTTCCTAACATGCAGCCAGTAGGGAGGCCAGGTAGCCAGCTACTGGAGTGTGTAGAAAGGAGGAATGACTGGCTCTGAGCCATACATATCCCTCCGTGAGTACCCAAGTACTTTATTTAGGATTGAATGTTGGGATCTCACTGTGGCTGCCTAGAGGCCCTCTTTCTCTGCTTCTGGATTCTAGACTATTTTCTAAGGGATTAATTTAGCCAAGCGACTCCCCAACAAATAGAGGGATAATTGTATTATCTTGGTAGAATTTCAACAAATAACTATCCCTGAGATAGGCAGAAGGGGGACAAGCCACAGGAAACTTGTTACCAGTCATGAGGATCAAATCTGTGACTGAAGTTGAAGTAGGAACTGTCAAAACAAGCAAAAGATAAATTGTATTTAAATAACATCTTTGTTGATCAAGTTCATTGGTAACAAATTTTCACAAGAATGACCCTATTTATAAATGTGTCTCAGCACAGTTGATTATGCTTTGTTCCTATTTGATTCTCCTAGCCTGTGTAATCAAGATAAAGGAAACAAATAACGAGGGTGGTGGTGTATGAGTCTGGGACCTGAGTGACTGGTTGTGGTCTCTAGTGTTTGTGTAATGGAGCAATTGACCTTGAATAAGTCCTTTTGCATCTCTAAACTTCAGGTCCTGCAGCATCTGAAGGACCAATCCAAGGACTAGTAGCATCAGTATCCTATTGTTAGAAATGCAGACTCTTGGGCTGCATTGAATCCAAATCTGCATTTTAAGAAATTCCCAAGTGAGCTATGTGCATATTCAACTCTAAGAAGCACTGAGCTTGCAAATGGAGATGCTGCAGGCCAGGAGAATATGAGAGGTCAGGTGCTATGTGAAGGGGCCACCCTGCCCTGCTCAGTCCCAGGCAATTATTGCTCGTGAGGTGTGTAATACTAGTTCCCACTCTCAGATTTTCCAATCAAAGCTGGAAATCTTGGGCTGGAAATGCAGCTCAGTGATAGGGCACTTGCCCGGCATGCATGAGATCCTGGATTAAATCCCTAACATCATAAAAAGAAAAAAGAAAAGGAAGAAAGTCTGAAATATAGATTCTTAAAACAACAACAACAACAACATTACCACCAACAACAACTTTTGTTTTCAAAATGTGGGATTAAAAATAATTTAAACATGCATTGGCAATGCTGGGTTGTCTGAATCTAAATTCATTTGTGGGTCAAAACTTGTCCAGGGCTGCCCATTTGTGACTTCTGATCTGAGCAATCTCTAAGGGTTCTTCCAACTCTCAGGAATTGTTACATTGTGATGGTCCCATATCTAACTTGTTCTTGCCTAAAAGACTTTGTGGGCAATTCTCATAGCTGTAGTCACAAAAGGGAATTGTGTTTCATCATAATTTCCCTTAGAGGTTAGTCTACCAAGCCTGGCAGAAGGCTTTTGAGATTTTGGAAATACAGACTATGGGCCACTCTCATAACTGTTTACAGTTCAAAGAAAATGTGAGTTGAGCTGCTTTGTGTTGAGGTGGTATTTCTCCAACTTATTGAGCTGCACAATGACCAACTCAAGCCCTAGGACAATCCCTGGTGTGTAGAAGGACTTTTACAAAAGGACACTTAAGTCGCTTGCTTCGGAGAGTCAAGCTAAGTCTTGGCCTGCAGCAGCATGCATGTCCCTAGAAGGGTGACTGGAAGCTCCCACCATGGTGCCCTACACAAGTGTAGACCACTCAGTCCCCAGGACAAGGCTTTCAGAATTGTGTCCATCCTTCTGTTCTACAGGTAAAGAAACAGAAGCCTAAGAGGTCTGGGGACTTGCCCACCATTGCCCACTGGTTAACACTGGAGCCAGAGAACCCAAGGTTATGCTCTGGTGCCAAATAGGGCCACGCTGCATCACCATCTGAAAGTGATGAGAAGTTTGGAAAACATTGGGTTACACCAAATTAAGAAGAGATCTCTCCCTGCAGGACTCATCAGAGACTTGAAAGTGCTAATAGACTGAATCATCAAGAGAAGATATGGTATTTCCCCAAATTATGTAGCTATGCAAATCATTCTCAGAAATTTGCATAACACTGGATGAAGGGACTGTACTCTGAAACATGCTCAGGAGACAAATTGCTCCATTATTTTCTGAAAATATGGATTCAGGTTTTGCCTGAGATGTCTGAAGTCTTGTAAGTTAAAAAAGTACAGAAAAAAACTCACGGATTACCCCATGTGCTGACACTAATGAACATGGGAGTGAAGCAGGGTCACTAGAATTTGATCTCAGAGACCAATTGTGGCACCAAAGAGGGAAGGAACACACTGGAATCCTGTACCTCGGTACAAAGGCACCCAATCTGTTCCTTTTATTGTTCTGATTAATGAATATGTAAGCAGCTTACATTAGTTTGATATGAGCTTGATATTTAGTTTCATATGAGATAAAAACTGCGACCCTCATCATATGTAAGACAATCTACTTCTCTGATTTATAGAAAGCAAGAGAGAAAATAAAATTACCCGGTGAAGCGGTCAATTCTGTGGCTGATGCTGAAATGGCAAAACAATCAGGAACTTAGAAGATACATTTTTGTTTAAAAATTTGATACCTCAGATACATTAAGTTAGGAACAAAACAACTTCTGAAGTGTGAAACCAAGAATAAGAAAAGTTTCTTAGTTGATACTCAAATTATTATTCTAACCTGTGGGCTATAGATTAAGATAAGCTGGGCAGTAGGTATTTTAATTTAATCTGATTTCCTTTTCTATTATACGATTTTTGGCAAGAGAAAGAAGAAAAAAAAATAATGCACAAACTCCTGAATTAAACAAAGCAGAACAAACAAGAGGGGACCACTCCAACCACAGAGGGAGAAGGAAATAGTGCTGAAGTGTTGAAATACTGTTGAGAACTCGGGTTTGGGTCATAGAATTCTCATCAGCAGTGCCACAGTGTCATCTTCAAAGCTCAAAACAGACAATTTGAGGACAAAGACTAGGAAGTGCCTGACCCCATGGTGGCTGACAGGGAGTCTGGGGGGTCCCTGAAGACTGCAGAGACGGAGGGCTCTACGCTGAAGCAGCTTAGAAGGAAGGTTATAAACGACAGAGAGGCCACCCGGAACCAAGGCCAGGTAGGCTGTGGGACTGAGGGACTTGGGATGATCCAGGTTAAATGATGCCCCATTATTTATTGGCTGCCCAGTGCTGAGAATGGACCTCCGATTGTGTTTGGAGCTTCCCAAGGGGACCCAGACATTCCCATGTCAGTTCCCAGATCCCTGCCAAGAGTCACAGCTCTGCCGGTTTCAGGAGACAGTTGAGAGTGAGTACCTGAGCAGATGACGCCGGCGTCCTCGTGATGGCCACAGTTGTGGACGGACAAGCCCAGATGCTGGCATCGGCCTAGCGAGGTCTCAGTGCCCTGGCACTGCACGTCATCCAGGAGGATGCTCCCCACACCCTTCCCGAAGTAGCCGCTCCCCAGGGCGCTGATGCCCTCCCCGCAGCCCAGCTGCCAGCACACCACGTGGGCGGCGTCGATGCTCCACAGGTCGTCACACACGGTGCCCCAGGTGCCATTGTGGTGGACTTCAACACGGCCTTCACACCGGCTCCTCCCACCCACCAACCTGATGATGGACAGGTCTGGGGAAGACTCAGAGGTTATTACTGGGACTTCTACTAGGACTTTTCCTTAGTTCTATATCAAACACCTTGGATTCTAGAGCCTCACAGGACTAAGAGTAGTGCTTACAAATGCAGAGCCTGCTTTCCTGGGCTATTTCTGATTTCCACTATTTTACTCTATCATTCTCATCTTTGGGTTGGGCAAAAGGTTTACAAAAGGATAAAAATAAATATCTATTTTGGAGCTGGAGACAGTGGTACACATCTGTAATCCCAGTGGCTGGGGAGGTTGAGACAGGAGGATGGTGAGTTCAAAGCCAGCCTCAGCAGAAGTATGTGTTAAGCAACCTAGTGAGACCCTGTCTCTAAATAAAATACAAAATAGGGCTGGGGATGTGGCTCAGAGGTTGAGTGCCCCTGAGTTCAGTCCACAGTACCACCCCCCACCACAAGAAAAAAAAAATCTATTTTGGAACCAAGCCATCAGATTGATAGGCAAACTCATTGTCATTGTCATTGACATTGATAGATATCACACCCAACTTCTGGTTTTCTTTAAGCCAAACTTTCCCATTGGCTCAGGTTCAAAGTTAAAAACATCTCAGTAGAACCAGAGAGTAGATGCAATGAGGCTTTGCTTGTAGCCTGTGCCTCTGTCTCAGGTCTGTATTTTCCCCAGTCCCAGGGAGGCATGGATCCAGGAGGGCACTGACATCACTGGCTGTGACCCCAGCGACCCCCAGAAAAACCCAATAACCAGGAAGTTGCAGGAGAAACAATGAGAGGATTACCAACTGCAGGAGCTGGGCTTGCCAGAGCTGGGGCCACTTCAACAGCTGAAAGAGAAGAGGCATTCACATCAGGGGAGGTGAAGTCTGACAAAACGCCACCAGCTAAGCGGGCACGTGAGTCCCATGGGTGCCAGTGTGTGTGGGGGGTGCGGTCAGAGCTTCCCAGCAAATGCAGCAGTGCTGAGGGGAGGCCAGTGTCCAGAGGTCTGGCTCATCGGGACAGCGGCTGTGAACCATCTCGGCCTGGCCTGGGCGGGAACCTGGAAGCATCTCTCTGAACTCCACCGGGGAGGAGTCACCTATAGTGGCTCTGGAGATGTGAGGCTAGAGAACAGGATGGTGGACATTTGATGCCGATTTAACTCAGAGTGCTTATCCCTAGACCCCATGAAACACTAAGTCTTCAGATTAAAATACCACCAGCCAACAGAGGGGAGTAGAAATGCCGTCTCCTCTGCCTCATCTTCAGCCCATCTGGGGACCTCATCTCTGCCCAGCCCTGAGGAGACTGGGGTGATGCTGGGCTATGGTGAGACCCCACAATGGAGTGGGGAGTCACAGATATCTGTTGCATGCAATTAATTAGTAATAAAAGTCAAAAAACAGGGATTTAGCATGTTTATTCAGCTGTTTTGAAAAGTTGCCTAAAATTACCCCTCATGGCAAGAAAGTCCCAACTTAGGCAGTCAGCAATCAGGAGAGTATTCAGAGAGCATAGCTCTCTCTGAGAAATATCTTCCAGAGAAACCCACAAGTTGGACACACCTGGGAGAACCATTCCCAGATGTTAAGAATCACTCCAGGGCGAGGCTCGACTTCTGTTTCTGCGTATGTTCTGGCTCATGGGATTTCTTCTCAGGGCCAGGGGGACTGGCTGTGGTGCATGGCAGGGGATACTACTCTCCTGACATTAGAGTGACCAAGGTCCTGGCTTGTTGGAGTTCAAAGAAGACATGTGACTTCTCAGTGCTAAAGCCAGGACATTCCAGGCAAAGCCGGGCAAGTTCTTGACCCACCTGGGACCCCAGGCCACTCGGGTATCTGCCTGTCAGAGATGACTGTCCTGCTTGGGAGGGAAACCGGGCTCAGCAGAGTTCAGGTACCTGAGCAGACAGCCCCGGCGTCCTCATGGTGCCCACAGTTATGCACAGACAGTCCAAGGTGGTGGCACTGTCCCAGGTTGGTCTCGTTGCCTGTACACCTCACGTCGTCTAGGAAGATGGGGCCGGAACCGTCGCCAAACAGACTGCTCCTGGGAGCTGCCAGGGCTGCCCCACAGCCCAACTGCTGGCACACCACCTGGGCAGCGGGCAGGCTCCAGAGGTCGTCGCACACGGTCCCCCAGGTGCCGTTGTGGTAGATCTCCACTCGGCCCTCGCATGGGTGCTTCCCATCGGCCAGCCTCACCCCTGGCAGATCTGCAGGAGCAAGAGCTAGTGGGCTTGAGGAGCCTCCTGCAGTGCTCGATGGGACAGCACATCTGGCTGGAGACTCTGGCCCTGGGGTGCAGCCTGCTGGGGGAGAGCATCTATCATGCAGGTGGGGATGTGCTAATGCGGAGCCTTAGAAAACAGAGGAGCAGAGATGCCTGCTGTCTACCTACAATTTAGCAGACTCCACAGTGGCTCTGCCCGGGCTTTGTGGAAGACATTCTGCTTTCACCCTTGTTTATTGTGTTATGTTCCTAAAAATTCAAAACAAGGCAGCTGCATGCTTGGAGCTCAGGTTTTGCATTTCTAAGCCAGATTTCCCCAAACATGATGAGATTATCAGAGCAAAATTAGTTTTGCTTTACTTGAATTTAGAGAGCTATAAAGTACTTATTTGGGATGACACAGGTGGATAGAGGTTGGAAAATCAGAGGAAGATGTGGAGTCCCAGCTGCAAGAAAGTGAATTATTGCCTAAATAAAACAGACCCTTTGAACCCAAAGCAAGTGAAATTGATTCTCAAAGTCTAGACCTTTGTGAGCAGGACTGGTTCCTGGAATCCCCTAAGCAGAGTGTGGAGTGGGCCTCTGTGCAGGCCTTTGGATGCTGCGGCTGAGGTGGGTGGGGGAGCTGGCTCTCTCCTGGAAGAGAATCCTATACTAGGAGAGTCCTCCAGTGAGCACAGCTCCTTTTCCATACAGAGGTGGGAATAGTATTCACTAACTCTCTGCTGGTCAAATGGTGGGACTCCAGCTTCAGAAAAACTGTTATGAAATGCAAGAATAGAAACAGTACCTATTTGATGGAAAATGTGTGGATGATCCTGATGAGCTGAAGAAACTGTACAGGTACAAAAGAAAAGTAGCCTCCGTAAGTACATTTAAGAAAAAAACAATGAAATTTCATATTCATTTCAAATACCGTCTAAGTCATAGGCGTTTTACCTTTAAATAACCCCATTGAGTCTCTGATCACATAGTTACTATTTAAAATGTAATGGCAGCTCATGAATGAATATGCACATTATTTTTATTAAGAAAATAAAAACTATGGGGCTGGGGTTGTGGCTCAGTGGTAGAGTGCTCTCCTGGCATGCATGAGGCACTGGGTTCCATCCTCAGCACTACATAAATGTAAAATAAAGATATTGTGTCCACTAAAACTAAAAAGTAAATATTAAAAAAAAGAAAATAAAAACTAAAGCTCATGTTGGGATTTTGAAGCTACGACCCCATACCCAGGGCTGCCTCAGCAGAACCAGAGTTCAGCCGCTGCATCCCAGGTCCCAGGTAGGGCTGCAGGTGGAGAAACAGCTCCTGTCCTTAGGCCCTCCTTCCCCAAACCTCCCTATTCCCAGGCCCCCCCACCCACATCCCCAGGCCCTCCCGACTTCCCTGGTCTGCCAAGGCCTTTGCATGAACTACCATTTTAGGTCAAGAGCTTTTGGGTTAAAAGCAGCTCTCAAATGCAGAACAGACAACACACTGGGCTGTTAAGATCCAGAACACCTTTTCCTCTAGGCACAGAGCAGGGTCCCAGGAGAATGGGAAACAACCCTGGGTCCTTACAGAAGAGTCTGTGCTCAGGGCACTGTCAAGGCCCTTTAAAGCTTGAAAGGGAAACCCATTGTAGAACCCTGCATTAGACAAGAGTCACCAGTCAGCAAATAACAGACACCAACTCACATATACCTGGATGCTCAGCAGCTTCAGAACCTGCAGAGATAAAGGAGACACCGAGCAGTGTGACATTAGAAACCAGATGGTGCGGAGGTTTGAAGGTCATTTTCTCTGTTTAACATGACTGGAGGAAGTAGAGCGTAACCAATCCTTGAGCATCAGGGCTGTCCCCTCCGGTGTGAGTTCTCACCTGGCTAAAATCTCTGCAGCAGTGATTCTGATAGAATTTCCCTCAGTAACTAAAATGACGCATCTGCAACGTAGCAATACTTTTGTATTATCAGTGGTTTGTCAGATGCTCAAGTAAATGTTCTATGTGTATTGTCTCATTTAATCCTTCCAACAAATCTATGACATGAGTACTATTGTTGTCTTTATTTTACAACCGAGCCACCTTCATAGACGCTCAAGTGGACCAGGCCACCCCATGTGCTAAATAGCTGATATATTTTTCAGAGTTGGAACAGAAATTCCTTGTCAAGGACATGGGGTAGGCTGAAGGCATGAAGTCGTTTGCATATTCTACCTGGCCTGGGCATCTGTGACACTGGCCAAGAGGCGTCACTGGGAGGAGATTTGGGGTCAGCAAGGTACTCTGAGCCACCACTCACCTGAGCAGATGACGCCAGCATCTTCATGGTGCCCACAGTTGTGGGTGAACCAGCTGCCGTGGGGGCACTGTTCCAGGGAGGCCTCACTTCCTGTGCAGTGGACATCATCAAGGAGGATGCGGCCTGACCCAGGGCTGAAGCTGGCCCCTGGGAGGGCAGATAAAGCCAGGCCACAGCCAAGCTGTCTGCAAACCACATGGGCATCCTCGATGGACCAGCTGTCATCACACACAGTGCCCCAGGTGTTGCTGTGGAAGACCTCGACGCGGCCCTCGCACCTGCTTGACCCATTTGCCAGCCGTAGGCCCAGATCTAGGTGGACAATCCAAAGAACACCCTTCATAAGGGCCCATCCAGAAGGGCCATTTCCTGGGGTGTGCGCTGACAGTAAAGGATAACGAGTCCCTTCTCCCCTTCATTTCATCTCCTTTACTTTTGTCTTGGGGACCACACCGTGTGCCTTCCATGCTGCTCCCTGGCCAACTGGACTGTGAGCTGCCCCACTCTGTAGCCCTCCTTTCACTGTGGGTTGTGGAGTTGTGGTTCCTGACGAAGAGTTTGTTGGATTTTTCATAAGAAGTAACCAAGCACACACTAACTTGTGTGTGTGTGTGTGTGTGTGTGCATGCGTGCGTGTGCACCTTTGCACATGTTGACCAAGTGACAATGACAATAGCTGTCATCTATGTTGTCCCCAGGATCAAGCGTGACCCGTATGTAAACGGATTTTGAAGGGCAGCCACTGCAGGTGCCACCCATTTTCAAAGGGCAGTGTTATGAAAGGTATTAAAAAACTGGGTGTGTTTAGAACACAGCCAAGGTGAGTTCCTGGGTGGGGGCTGGGAGGAGATTTGGGGTCAGCAAGATGCTCTGAGCCTTTCTAGTTGGCAACTTCCAAACCATCTCACAAGCCGGTGTTTGTTGCATCTCACATCTGTTTCCTCCCTCTCCCTTCTAATCACAGATTTTCTAGTGAACCCAGAGATTATCAGCCCACCCTCCAGCAGCTGCCATTTATAGGGCCAGCCTGAGGCCAGGGTGGAAGTTGGAAGTGGACAGTGTGTCCACCGGGGATCCTTCTTCCCACAGTACTGCTGGAGTCTTTCTGAGCTGAAACTCTATGAAGGGAAAGCAACTGAAGAGAGGAGAAAGGATTGATTACCTGTTGATATGGGCACCTCTGTTGGCTTTGGAAAAGATGCTAAGGACATAGAGAAAGCAAAAGGAAAAAAATATATAACATCTTAGTCCAATGTCTAACATTTAACTTAGTCAGCTGCCAGCGGGCTCTCCACCTTCTGCCTTATCTGTGGGCAGTTTCTGATTCTAAATGAGACTCCCCAGCTGGGCCTTTCTCTGCAGACAGTACTCCAGCAGGTGTATGTGTCCAGAAATGACCTCCCCAGAGCTTCCTCTGAGGGTTTGGGGTCATTGCTTTTCCCCAACTCTTCCCTATATTGGACTTTGCACTTAAAGATCAGCCTGGGAAGAACAGCTGAATAAATTTGAAATGTGTAAACAGCTAGGAGCAAACTAAAAAGTGATGCTTTCAGCTTCTTAATTATTAACACTTCTCTTAAGCAGAAGGGAGTGTACAAAGATGAATCCTTGCAGTGCCCTGGCCTTGGAAGTGCTGAGCAGACCATGACTGATGACTTATGTTGGCCCTGCCTCTTGGCAAGCACTGTCCTCACCACTGTGCTGAGAAAGCCAGTGAATTCCAGCAGAGCCCACGGACAAATGCTACCGTCCTTCTCAACCTCATCCAGGGGAGGAAACGGAGGCAGGAAGCAGTTTGGAGATTGGCTAGAGGCCTCACAGCTGGCTAATGATGAAGACAGGGCGTTTGACCCCTAAACCACTACCATTCTACCCAGGGCGACTATACTAAGGCAAGTGGCAGCCAATTCATTAAAAACAACTGAAATTACCTGAAGTTGTGTAGTGCACAGCAGCTGCTGGTGTTGGGCTAGGCCGAGAGGCTACGAAAGACATAGGAAGTGCAGGTTGGTCATCCTCCGTCACCCTCCTTAAACCCCAGAGTAGACCTGGGGAGAACCCAGACCAGATGCACCCCACCCAGGCCTCTGAGAATGGCCCTGAGTTACCATGGTTACAAACCCCAGGTGTCCTGGATCTCTGGGTCCATTTCTGCCCTGCGGCTAGACCCTGCACTGTCATTTTCTTTTCTTTCTTTTGGTAAGTTGGCCACAGTGATGGTTGCCATGTGTGGAGCACCTCTCCAGCTGCTTTGGTGTTGTGATTTTTCCTGTGTGTGTGTGTGTGTGTGTGTGTGTGTGTGGCAGGATGGGGGGGCTGTCTTGCCTCCCAGAGTAAATGTCAGCTGTAAAGAGTGACGTCACATTTGTCTCCAGGACGCACACTGGCACCCTCTGTGCAGGGAGGGACAGGAAAGGCTGTGTGGACCATGGAGCTGGCCAGGAGCTCCAGGGTAGGGACGGAGGAGAAAGATGCTCCTTCAGGCACCTCTGACTCACCCCAGGCAGCTAAAAGCCCGGCTCCAAACCTCCCGGCTCTTCAAGCCCCCAGCCCTGTCCTCTGATGTCCCACTCAGTGTGTGGCTTCAGCTTCTGCTCCCCTCAGAACACTGATTCTATCCCTTGGCTTCTCTCCTCTCCCCACAGCACCGTCCAGCACGCCACCCCCTTCCTCCTACCCTCTGTAGCTGATTGGCCAGTTTGCCTCTCCCCAGCCAAACCCAGAAGGATGAAGAGATGGGTGGGGACTTTTGACTCCAACTGCTGGATTAATCTGCAGAAATTTGAATGGTTGGAAAAGGAATCAGAGCCCTGGATTAGGACCTGGGCTGCTGGCTGCCAGGAAAGATCTTAGCTCTTCAATTTACGGTGGTGATGTGAAGTTTCTGTATACAAGGATTTCATGTAAGTAAAAATTGAAGAGTCAGTTGAAAGGAAAGGGTTTTAAAAACTACAGAGTGGGTAGCAAGTGGGTACACTGGAGATCCAAGTGGCTGCCACAGGGAACAGTGGCCTGGAGACAGTCCGGGATTCCTGGCTGCTCTGTGCGTGGTTGGCACAAGGCTTGGAGCAGGAATGCCACTCTCTCCACTCCATGCACACAAGTCCAAAACCCACCTGAGCAGATGGCACCAGCGTCCTCATGGTGGCCACAGTTGTGGGTGAACCAGCCACTGTGCAGGCACTGCCACAGCCTGGCTTCTGTCCCCACGCACTCCACATCATCCAGGGCGATGGGGCCCACACCTCGCTTGAAATGTGCCCGCCCAGGGGCTGCAAGGGCCTCGCCACAGCCCAGCTGCTTGCACACCACCTGGACGTCAAGTAGGTCCCAGCTGTCGTCACACACGGTGCCCCAGCTGCCATTGTAGTGCAGCTCCACCCGGCCCTCGCACGGGTGGCTGCCATCGGTCAGCCTCAGGACCACATCTGGGAAAGGGAGATGTGCTCGGTCACCACCCTGGGGCTGCCCTTGGATGTTGGGCCAGAGGGTAATGAGGACACTTCCTCTAGTCCTCGTGCATGGAGAGGAGACACTTGTGGGTTAAAGCTGGCTGCAAAAGCACTTTAGGTTTGATCTCTCATGTCGACTTTTTTTTCCAGGGGGAATATTTTTTTTTTATTTGTAGATGGATACAATATCTTTATTAGTTTATTTTTATGTGGGGCTGAGGATACAACCTAGTGCCTCCCACATGTGAGGCAAGTGCTCTACCACTGAGCTACAGCCCCAGCCCAAGGGGTGGGATGCGTATTTTTAAAAGCTTTATTCCCCAGATTGGATTGCCTACTTCACAGAGGTCACAAAGGGCCCTGAAGTCCTTCTGTAAAGTGAAAATCATCAAGTCCACCAGCACTGTGGCTGCTCCAGGGAGAATCGTGTTCTCAGACACAGTTTTGACTAAGGAGACTCCAAGCAGGGCTGAGCAGCCGACCCTGACATCAGAAGACACATGCGGTGCCTTAGTGCAGGGGACTGTGGGTGCTCGGCCAGTTTCTCAAGCCACTCCTTGGGAGATGTGACTCCCAGAGGCCTTGGGAAACTCTTTTAAGTCCCTGGTGCCCAGTCCCCCGAGGAGGGCATCCAACTTCACTGTCATTGTCAAGCAGGGCCAGGTGCTGAAATGACAGAAGGACTTACCCGTGTCATTCTCGTTGTAAACTAGGGACTCATAAGATGCGTAGAAGCCCATGTTGGTGACGATTGCGTCGCTGTGGAACACCACGGTCAAGCGGTTGGAGGAGGAGGTAAATACTGGGGTTGTCCCTGAACAGAACCTCCCCAGGGAAAAAGATTCACTTTGTGGGCCATCGAAGACTTCGATGAAGTCGTAGGGACAGCCGTAGAAATTTTCCATTCTGTGAAGTGAAAAGTGGCATTCAAATTCCATCCATAGGGACTTTTCACCCAGTCGGCAGTGACCCAGGTCAGCTCAGGAGGGGTTGGGAAAGCTACCTGAAACCGACCGCTCTTCACATAGGTTGGAACCTTCCCTACTGACCCTACTGACATGGGCAAGAGGGACCTTCCTGCTTCAAATATCTTTAAATTTTTAAAGTTATAACTCAATAGCGTTTGTTCCTTATACATCACAAGCACAGGAAACAGAATTTAAGTGGTGCTGATGACTTATGGTGAAAAGTGAAAATCTCCTCCTGCCCCTGACTAGCCCCCCCTCACTTCTTTCTCCTTCCCAGAAGCAGTTCCAGTGAATGGCTTCTTTTTATTTCCTTCCAGAGACTGCCCATGCACAGACTATTTAATGGTCTGTGGTTTCTTGTAGCCCATTTTATATCAAGACCCACTATGTGCATGACAGCAACATGTGGATACATGGAAATCTACTTAATGATCCCCTACTGATGGACGGTAGACTGTTTCCAATCTGTTACTACTATGTGCAAGTTGCCATGATTGTTTTCAGTGCCCATGAGACTCTCTGTAGACCTAATTCCTGGGGCTGGAATTGCTGGGTTAAAAGATCTGTACATTTAAAATTTTGACTTTAAAAATTCAGGTGGAGTTCACCTTTGAGGATTAAATATGGGAGTTTTTGTTTGTTTATTTTTGGGAGGAATGGATGGAGGAGAACAGATAAACTGCTGTACATAACTGCGTGACAACATTAGTGAAAGTAGAGAACATTTACTTACTTGACCACTTCAAATGTCAGTTTGATGTGCGCCCTGGTGTCCACTTGTATGTCCCAGGCACATACCACATTCGTGGGGTATTTTTTAGGATACCAAGGACTGGAGAAGGAGCCTGAGTTATTTGTGAGCAAACCACCACAGTGGAAGTTGTCATCTGTGAGAAACAGTGAAGAAGCCCCATTAGGAGGGCACTGACTTTTGCTGGAGTTTTGAGCCACTCAAGGGGGACGTGATGAGAACAGAAGCAGGAAAACACGGTCTAGGGCTGCTTCTGCAGAAAAGTCAGCTTTGCAGACCCTCCCTAAGCTCCCAACACTGTCCTCCTGGGCCGACGAAGACCATTCCGGTGTTCTTGTGAGGAGAGGATGATTGTACACAGGGTTGGACGGGCTTTACGGACCTTGTGCACAGACGGGGCAAACGAGAGTAGCCTTTCTCAGTATAGCATGTTATACAACAGCTTGTATGAGACGATCCCTTGTGGTATTTGTTAAAGTAATGAATTGGGAGGACACGAAACTGATCAAGTGCCCTGGATTCCTACAAGCACACCAAAACTCAGCTCATTATGAATGGTCTTTGTCGATCAGAGACTATTCACTGAACCCTAACTAGGCACTTCCCGCTGAAATGATCTAAAGAAGGCCACTGCCCAATTCCCAATCCAATATTTTCTTTGCTTTGCTTCTGGGTTCACCCTATCAAAGTCTGCCCCTCAGTGGAGCCCCCGAACCACTCCGGTTAGGAGATGTTCAATTCAAAATGGCTCTCTGTTCAAATAAATTCTTATAAAATTTTAAGATATCAAAATTATCTTTTGATAATTATATACAAATCCTAGTTGACATGAAGATCAAGGTTACATAAAGCATCCAGTGTATGGCTGCAATATTGGCCTTGGTATGGAAGTGGTTAAAGGGCTCTGTCCAGCTACTTCTCAAATACAAAAGGAAGAAAGGACATTTGTCCAGTTACAGGAAGAGTTGACACTGAAGTGAAACACACACGGGACCACATGGGGAGCTTGCATGAGCTGAAGTACCTGTAAAGGGACTGTCATCAGTGACACCTGTGAAAATACAGAGCAAGAGTAACACCATGAGTGAGGGTCTCTGTCCAGAACACTCCTTTAAAATATTCAGAGCACTGGCCTCCAATACTAGGATTTCTCTGTCCCCCAGTGGACAGAGATGACTCTGGCTTCTCAAGAGCTTGGACCTTCGAACACCAAGTGTGCAGATGGGTGTCACCCATACAGCTTGTCCAGGGCTGGCCTGGGGTTCTCATAGTCTCGCTCCCTCCAGCATCTCACACACGGCCATGGCTGCAAGCAGTCAGCCTTCTCTTCGCAGCAGGTACTGACTCAGAGTCCCGGTGGCTGACAGGTCGTATCTCTGGTGAATCTGCTCCTTCCCTCCCTCTTGCCTTTCTTCCCACCTTCTGCAGCCCCTCGGCCCCACCATTTTGTCAGTCCTAATGGACTGCACTGCTCTTGTTAATTAGCCACGGAGCACTCCACTGGACTGTGCCCCAACCTCAGGATTAAACAGTAGCCAGGATTCACATACACCAGGGACCTGGCAACTGGTCGAACCATATGGAAAAACAGTACCTGTTGGTCCTCCCTTTGGATTGCCACCAATACCTATTCAGAAGTAGGTGAGAGAATGAGAGAGGATTGAGTAAGGTGTTCACACAATTCATGAAAAAAATTGAGCACTTTGTTCAGGATCAAGCATATTCTATTCTGGGCAGTTGGTGACATGGTGTCGAAACTCATTAGAGTTGGTTAAAAGATCAGTGCCTCCTGGTGAGGGAGCACACTTTGCTCTTGGGGACTCAGATGCTACATGTTTGCTTTTGACAAGTTTCTGGGTTGACTGGGCTTTCCTGACGGGGTGATCTGTCCTGAGCACAGGGCCTTGGCTAGACCATAAGACCCGCGTGTGATCTTGGACAGGCCTGTGCTGCCTTGTCAAGGGCAGATGCCTGTAGTCTCCATTAGAGGCTGGGAAGATTGAATGGGAGTGTGAGGGCACAGGTTGCCACAAGAGGTTGGCATGGCTAAGCACTCGATGGGCACTGACTCCTCTTCCTACTCAGGAGAGCAGTAATCACTGATGCCCTGGAGGTCCCTCCAGGAATAGGACATCTGCTGAGACTAACCCTCTACTGAGTCACCTCAACTTTCTACGGGGAGCCGTTAACATTTTACAGATGCCGCAGTCGAAGAAGGAACTAACTCTTAAGCAAATTGACTTAAGGAGCTGGCCTGACGCCCAGCGCTTGCCTGGACTCATTGCCTGCTGCTGTTGACATGTCCCTTCCCAGAGGCTACCATGGGTGACATCCTCCCTGAGGTGTGCGGTGTGCTCACAGGTGCTCACCGGAGCAGATGGCGCTGGCGTCCTCGTGGTGCCCACAGTTGTGGGAGAGCCACCCGTTGTGTGTGCACTGCCACACCTTGGCCTCGTTCCCTGTGCACCGCACGTCATCCAGCATGATGTGACCAGTGCCCCCGTCAAAGTAGCTCTGAGCTGGGGCTGACAGGGCCTCGCCACAGCCGAGCTGCTGGCACACCACCCTGGCGTCGTTCAGGTCCCAGCTGTCATCGCACACCGTGCCCCAGGTGCCGTTGTAGAAGACCTCCACCCGGCCCTCACACCTGTGGCTGCCGTTCACCAGTCGCAGGGACATCTCTGGGGACAGGAAAATGGGGGCTTCTGAGCTGTGGTGCTGTCCACAACCCTAGGACCTTCTGCAGGTAGAAAGCGTTTTCTGGCACGTGGGCACGGGTTCCCCTGCTGGGCTCTGAGCCCCTAGGAAGTGTGTCCCTGTGTCCTGATTTACCTGGAATAGTCTTGGCCATGAAGGGGGAAGATGAATTAATGCCTGCTAATTATTGTAGAACCTCTTTTAAACTCATAAAAGTATCCCAGCTGGACAACAACTTACACAGCCCCCAGGCGTGAGCCACCCGAGTGCAGTGACGTGTTCCCTATGCCTTGTGGGAGGACCTCAAAGAACTGGAAATGATCTGAATGGTTTTGTACTGAATTCAGCTGGGAGCAGGTGGACTGCTAGTTGCAGTTTCCCACAGTTTTGGTCCAGATTGATTTTCCTTCCCTTGGAGAAGGAGGCTGTCATTTGGGTCCTTTACCAACACACATAGCCAGTACAAGATAGGAGACCTCAGCCATCTGTTTTTTCAGTGAGGGTGACACTGGGTGGCAGAGCAGGGGTAAGGATGGTGTCTGGGGCTTGTGTGGATGTCACTAAGGTTGTCAGCAGTGGGGGTGATTCCTCAGATTAGATTCAGAAAGTGCCTCCTCTCTTAAAGGGACAGGATGCGAGTTAGACATAATTCCTGTGAGACTCATGTCAAGATACTCACCACTTTCCCTTTCATCTTGCGGAATGGTGTTGTACAGAGCATAAAACCCCGTGCTGGTGATCATGGCATCACTTCTGAACTCTACGGTCATGATATTCGAAGACGAGAGGAATGTGAGCTCTTCCCCAGCACAAAATCTGCCCATGGAGAGCGAGGCAGCTTGCCGTCCATCAAACACTTCCACAAAGTCATAGGGACATCCATAGATGTCCTCTAGTCTAGGACAGGAAGGCAACGTTAGACTCCCAGGAGATCTGGGCAGGCATCCTGCCATCTTCTCCTAACCGGCCCCTGCTAACCACATGACCTTTGAAGGAGCAGCCTGAATCTGCCTCCCATCCTTCCCTCCTGGGACCACCCAGTTATCCGACTCCCATCTCTCGCCTGGTCCATTTTAGTGACCTCCCACCTGGAATCCTGGCTCTCAGCTTCCCCCACCCCTTTTCTCTCTACCTTAAGTGTCTCCTTAATGTCCCCTGACTCTTTCATTTAAATCCTGCCACTCCCTGGGTGGTGGTCAATGTTCATCAGGGGCTCCTGAGTCATAATCAGGAAGACTCCTGAGGGTGGAGAAATAATGAGAGTTGTAGAGAGCTCCAGGCCTCGTTGGGTGGACTCTTCCCCCCAGTGCCCCAAACTGCCTGGTCCAATCCAAATGCTTTCACCCAGGTTCCATCCCACCTGGATGACCAGAGGCTTCTTGACTGTCCCCTCCACTGCTTCCCCCTCCTCACCCTCTCACCCACAACTGTGGACGTGTGCATTTTTCTTCACAGCACTTGTCAACTTATTGCTATCTGAGATTGTCCACTTAGTTTTTGGTTTATTTGAGCACTGTCTTTCCCTCTAGGATGCAAACAGGATGGAAGAGGGCTTGTCTGTCTTGTTTGGTGTGATAAGCCCACTCCTAGACCAGGCCCCCACAGAGTGGGGCTCAATACACATAAGTCCTATAAGTGGTAAAATCTCTTCAAGTTCAGAACCTCATTGTGAATCATAACTAATTTTATGTCTTGAGAAACAAAAAGCAAATATTGATAAATCTAGACTTAAAAACATAGAACCCTCCCAAATTAGCAACTGTGCTCTAATTCTAGGCAACACATTAAATGCTTTCTTGATTGTGTGCTTCAGAACTGTAGTAGGAACTTTACGTTGTAATAGCGACCTTTTCATTAGAGGGGATGTGAGCCATTACAGTTCTTTGGAATAACTATTTTCCAGAAGTGATAAAATGAGATGCTGTGTCTTAATAAACCATTAGAACTTCAAATTTCATATATTTGAAATATGTGATACCAAATCTCCTCACATGGTTTTCTACAAATAAATGCATATTGAATGAATGGATGATGAACATAGATTGCTCATCATGTGTAACCCCTGATGTTCATTTATGTCCTCTCTAACCAAAATGAATTTATCAGCCAGGAGACACCAGTGGACTCCACCCTTTGTTCTACTGCCTGCCCTTTTTATGCTTCTGAAGACAGCAGTTAGCCGTTCAGACCCTGTGCTGCTGTGGCTGATGATCCAGGCAGGAAGAAGCAGCAGAGATCTGAGACACACTGCAGGACAAAGTCAAGAAGAGAGAATAACCCAGATACAACCAGTGTAGACAGGTGGGAAGGTGATTTTTTTTTAGAAAGTTACTCATGTGTATGGTGTATGAGTGAATATATATATATCTCCAACTGGCCCTGCACACCTGTGGGTTCTGCACCTGAGGATGCAAATCAACGTGGATCACAAATACTTGGAAAAAAAAACCGCCTCTGTACTAAATCAGTCCCAAAACTCCAGACTTTTTTCTTATCTTGATTCCCTAACATTACAGTGTCCCAGCTGCTTGCATAGCATTGACTTTGAATCAGGTTGGTCAGTTATCCAAGGTGATTTGGGGTACACAGGAGGATGTGTGGGTTCTGATTTATTAGAGGATTTGAGCATCTGTGGGCCTGGTAGCTAAGGGTAGGTGGGGGACCCAAAACCAATCCCCTGTGGATACTGATGGTCAAATGTATACAGGGACATATAAAAATACATCAAAATAGGATAAATTCCTTTAAAATGGGTAGTGATTGGAGAAAGAAGTAGGAAGTGTGAGGTTCATAAATGGAGGAATAAATGAGCTGCTCAATTTGTAGAAGAGATGTGGTAGAAATTCATGGAGGGAAGAGAAACCAGATTTGCCTTGGGTGCATCAAAGGGAACAAAGATGGGGCAGCAGGGAAGAGCAAAGCAGATCTGGATTCAGCAGGGGGAAGCAGCCTGTGTCTTTGGTGATCTGGCTGAGGTGGAGGGGTGAGGTGTTTGGGGGTGGCCACCCCGCAGGGGCTCCAGGGCCCGCTGTTCATGGCTTATTCTCTCATTGCAAAGGAAGTTGAGCTAAATGACTGAAAGACCCTCACAGCCCAGGTGATCAGACCAGTTCTCACCTAAATGTGAAAGGATTTGAGCCACAGAAAGGCTGCCTCTCTGAGGAGACCCCGGGTCATATTCCACCTGGCTTTTGAAGTAGAGAGAGGCGAGGCCACTCACCTAAGGCTTGGGATGGTCAGCTGTATGTGGAACTTCTCAGCCACATGTATCACCCAGATGCACTCCACGTCGGTGGGGTAGTTTGTAGGATACCAAGGACTGGAGAAGGAGCCTGAGAGGCTCGAAAGGACTCCCCCGCAAGAGTTACTTCCCTCTGTGAGAGCAGAAGGGAGACCGTGGTTGGCCTCTATGGGCATGCACCCTGCATTTTCCCAGATGCAGGAACCAGAATTCCATCAAGCTCAACAGCAGAATCACAAAAAGGGGAGGGACTATGCTGGTCTGGGCATGGCTATGGCTTGGCTGGTGTGGGTGGTACACCTCTCAGGGGGCATGTGGGAGGATGAAAGTGGGACCTTACAATCAACTGTGGGTGAGACTGGAAAAGGACTGGACACATGCAGGTGACATGTGGGTGTGTCCAGGCTGCACTTCTTTAATGCTCTCCCCAGGTTCCTGTCACACAATCCAGCTCAACTCAGGTGTGGACAGCCCACCCCTCTGTGAGGGCTCGATCCCACCCATTCCTCCCCGTCATGGCAGACTGGACAGTTAGAAGTCCATTCTGCTTTTATGAATTATCCAAATGATCTCACTTGATGCTTTATAGGCCATGATTTCAATGAAGAGGGTTACCTTTTGGTATAGGCACTTGAGCAACAGCAGCTGCAAAATACAGAGAAAACCAGGAGAGAGCTGAGCATCATAAAATCACACTTGCAAAACAAAGGAGGCTGGGGAGGGAATAATGGAAATAGATTGGACTAGTGGGGAGGGGACTAGGAAAGACAGTAGAAATAACTTTCCTAGCCTTGTATTTGTCCACATGACCAAGGTAACTCCTCATTGTGTTTGACCACAGAGTGGGAACCTCATAGAATAAGTTATACTGTGTGTATGTATATCCTGCCAAAATACATTCTACTGTCATGTGCAACTAAAAACTTAAAAAATAAAAAATTCTTAAAAAATCACACTTAATTAAGAGCAAATGAATGAACATGTTACTACTCTTGGGTTTTACTAAGTAGTGTGGACCCTCTCTCTTTTCTCCCTGATCTAGGGTGGAGCTGGTTCATTTCTTTCGATGGATTCACCAGATAATCACAGACAGTGTCCAGCAGCGTGACATCTTTTCTCTTCTGTGCTTGGTCCACCAAACCCAAGGGCTGTCCTGAGACTGATTGGTCACTGTGAATGACCCACAGTAACATTACTGGGCTTGTTGACCATGCCACTGTGTCTGTAAAAATCGATCAAGTGCCAGAATCCAAGAGGAGAAAAACCAGAATCCTAAGCCAGGGGCGGGAGGGGTAGGCTGGAGGGTCCTGTAAAGGAAGGTGGGCTTCAGGGCTGTTTAAGGTCCCTTCTTTCTCCTTTCATGCATCCTGTTGACTTTGATTTCTATGTAGCACTTCAACACTCAATATCCCGTATTCTCAGTCCTCTCCCCACAAGGCTGGCTGAGGGCAAGGGATTTTTGAAAGCATGTCCTTTGGGATGTGCCACCTGCCTGAGTTTACAGGAAGGCTTGGTGGGAGGGAGTCTGAAGCACTCAGGCAGAGGGTTGAGAATTCCTTTACCCTGTCATCTTGCTCTGCAGCCAGCTCTGCTGCAAGGGGCAGAGCAGTGAAGTGAGGGATGCTGTCCACTTTCCTGTCCTTTGTCCTTTGCCCAGGACAGGTTTGGGGATCAACAGAATGATTTTTGTTCCAACCTTCAGCGTCTCAGAAGCAATTTTCTTTTGTTAAATGCCTGATACACAGTATTTCTCTCAGAAAATTAAATGGCAAAAGTATTCTATTTTTGTGCCTAGATAGAGGTCTCACGCTCTATCAGTAAGTGGTTTGCTGGATCAATGCTCACAGATGGACACTATTTACGCACAAATGGTCCCGTTCCCACCCCCCACCCCCAGTTTCTGTTTTCCCATGGCCCATTCTCTTCTCCAGTCAGCGAGGCCTCAATGCTTCATAAAAAGGGATCTTGGAGTAGAGGGAAGAAAGAAAGGCCCCTGAGGTTTGAAACCCTGGGCTCCAGGAGGACTCAGGTGCAGAATCAGTGGAAGCACTGAAAGCCCCACCCTCCCTTCTCCTGTCCAGGCCTCCTCCTCCCTGACCCAGGCTACAACAGATTCCTCACCAGGGAAGAAGAGGAAAGCCAGGAGGAATCAAAGGGGCTCAGCTACTCGTAAGACCCTGAGAAGGGATCCTGTATGCTCTGTCTTCCCTCCAGGGCTGCTATAAAATTGTGGGTCCCATTGTGAAATGAAAATGTGGGGCCTCAGTCAGGGATGGAGAGATCACTCTCCTCTTTCCACAGGACCACTGCTCCATCCACAGTGAATGTGGAGCCCTCAAGGGATGGTGATGTCTGTCCTGCGGTGCACACAGGCCCTGGATCGAAGTGGGTAAGAGACCTCCACTAAGTTTCCACAGATGTGCCATGGTGCTGTCAGCTGGGTAGGGACAGCTTCCACCCATCCTGGGGGCCCTGAAACACCATAGGATGCACCCTCAATCCTGGCACCATCCAGTGCCCAGCCCCCAGTGGCAACAGTCAATGGCAGAGACAGAGAGGACCTAGGCCAGGCCCTGGGAGCTGGGGTCAGGGAAGAAGGCAGCTGAGAATCTGTCTTAGAAGCAGAGGGAAGAGGCAGGGCCACACGTGAGCTGAGTCTAGATGGAATTGTGAGTTTGGCAGAAGGTCATTGCAGCTCGTGATTTTGAGTAGGTTACGAGAAGTTCTACTCTGTTGTGTTGGATAAGCCAAGGAATCCAAGGCAGAGCCCCCAGATGGTTTGTTTCCTTCTCTCTCTCTCCCCCCGCCCCCCCCTCTCTCTTTGGTGCTGGATATTGAATTCAGGGATGCCCTACCACTGAGCTATATCCCCAGTCCTTTTTATTTTTTATTTTGAGACAGGGTCTTAGTAAGTTGCTGAGCCTGACTTTGAACTTGTGATCCTCTTGCCTCAATCTCCCAAGTTAGGATCACAGGTATGAACCACTGCACCTGCCCAAATGGTTTATTTACCAGAGGTCTGTTACTGAGCAGCGGGAACAGAGTTTGCCATTGAATGCACCTTTGTTTCTGCTTGTTTCTCTGCACGCTTTCATTTTCTAACCCACGTCCCTGAGATGCAAACCTTTCTACCTTCTCTCCTCTCCAGGTTGACCCTCTCCTCAGTCACAGTGATTGAACCATTCTTCTTCTCTCTCCTCCGGTGCCTCCTTGCTCTGCCACTAGACAGGGTGAGTTTTGAAAGTAATTCCATTTGGGAAACGTGACTCTTAGTCCCTCGTCTGAGCTACTGGCTCTCAACCTGAGCCGCACATTGCATCACATGGGGAGATTTAAGTATTAGTGATGAGTGGGAGTCACCCCAGAGGTTCTGGATTTGACTGGTCCTGGGTACAGTCAGGACACAGGGAATTTCAGAAGCTCCTTGGATGGCGGCAGTGTGCAACTATAATTGGAATTCAGTGATCTGGTCACTGTTCACCAGGGTCTTGGTCAGGACACCGGTCAGATTCCTCTTTAATTTTGCAGAGATGGAAATTCCCAGTGTTGGACCTACCTCTGGGTGTAGGAGTCACATCTGTAGCCCAGTTCCCAGCACCTGCATGTATGGAAAATAAGCAAATTTAGTGATCTAACTTAAATTCTATGAAGACAAAGAAATGGCTTTCTAGGGTGGGCAGGTCTGAAGCAGGCAGGCCTCATGTTACCTAAGTAAGCACAAGGATGCGGCTTTCTTAGGAAAGACACCTAGGAAATGTGCAGAGAAGAGGACCAGCCAGTTGACTGGTCTGGTGTGCTTATCCTCAGAACAGTGAGCCCCTCAGCAATCTCTGGCTACCTGGCTGAAGGGATGTTCATCTGATGGCCACTGTCCTAAGATTCCCTGGCCCTACTCTATCTATGCATGGTCTCCATCTATCACTAAGACCCCTCATAAAAAGAACCCACTGTGAGAGGGGAGGGTACCTGAGCAGACAACACCAGCATCCTCATGATGGCCACAGTTGTGGTCTGACCAGCCAGAGCTGGGGCATTGGCCAAGGTGGCTCTCACTTCCTGAACACTGGATGTTGTCCAGGAGGATGTCTCCAGAGCCTGGGCCAAAGTGGGCCTTTCCAGGAGCAGCAATGGCCTGTCCGCACTCCAGCTGTCTGCACACAACCTCAGCTTCCTTCAGGTCCCACAGGTCGTCACACACGGTGCCCCAGGACCCCTGGTGGAGGACCTCCACGCGTCCTGAGCACCTTCCGGAGCCGCCCACCAGCCGCAGCACTGGTCCATCTTCTAAACAGAGGAGGATTTTATTTTTGAATTTTGAAAGTTTAATGTAGGAAGTGGCTTCTAACTCCCATGCCATGGCCAAGGCCGACAACACAAGAGCCAAACCTTAAAGCTGTCTTGGTTCCATAATAGGCAGAAGGGCTTAGAGTGAGACAGAAATCGGGTTTGAATCCCAGTTCTACTGCTCTCTAGTTGCGTAACTTTGACAAATTGTTTTGTCTCTCTGAGCTTCGGTTTCCTCATCTGTAACATGGGAGCTCCAGCAGCACCTACCTCAGAGGGCTGCAGGGATAAATCAACCAGGATGTCCACATGAAGGACACAGCTCAGCCCGGCAACATGGTCACAGCAGATCTTTCCATGTGGTTCTCTGTATCAAAATGCCTAGCTACTGGGGAAGCAGATTCCCAGCTGCTCTTCTTTGGTGTGACTTGGATAAGTATAGGTTTAGTCTGGCTGTGACTTCATTGAATCAAATGGCAATGGCAATTTCTGGGTCAAAGGGCGGTGGCCAGTTGGAATTACCTGCTGCCTCCTGGCGCTACCCTAAGGACAGCCTCTTCTTACTGTGCCCACAATAAGGCTCCTCCACTCTGCTCCAATATGTCCAGCTCTCCCCTGGAGGCCTTTGCATCTGCTGCTCTCTCTGCCTATCATTCCTCACATGTCACCTCCTCAGGGGTACCCCTTCCCTCAGGCACTCTCTACTAGGCCACCTGCCCTTTCTTCCCAGCCCTTATCTGCACCTTTTGTCATCCCTATCCCCAACTCCTCCTGTCTATTTACTTGCTTCTCTTGTCTTGAGCCTCTCCTCTTTCTGGCACCCACACTGGAACACAGGGCAGGGAGCCGGTTCTGTTCTGTGCCACACACTTCCAACAAGCCTTGAGCATGAAGAACCTGCCTGGCTATTATTTAATGAGTGAATTGTGGTCATGAGTCAAAGAGTGGTCTTGATTGCAAATGCTGGGGGTTCCTTACCCCAGGGCAGGGTCTCAAACACGCCTTTGAAGGTCAGATAAGAGAAATTCCCTTCACAAAAATTACACAAACTCAAACTGCAGCTGGGGACTTACTACTTGGCTTTCTGAAGGCCTGAAAGAATTACCAAGACTCCTGCTGGACCCTCTGAGCACCGAAGTCCCTAACTGGAAGGCAGCGTGCTTTCAGATTGAAAATTGGGCTAATGCTGGAATGGCTGCCTATAGGGCCATGGATAACAGTGGTCCTAAGCCTCTCCTTGGGTGAGACCAGGCACCGTGTGTGGAAGTATGAAATGGACAGGTGGTAGAGAAAAGCACCACCTCTAAGGGTCCCACGTTTCAGCACTCTGGACAGTTCCCGAGGTGCTGACAATCGCGGATTCAGCCGGAAGACACTGCATAGCTTACAGCTGTCCCCAGGATGGTTGCTGCCTGGCCATTTACACTCTGGGTACACATCACTACTTTACTGTAGCTTGCCAGTGGCCCTCTGTGGGAAAATCTAGCAGATACTGAGCAGGGCGGATGGAGCGAAGAGTGAGGATCTTTGAAAACAGAATCCCAAACCTCTGTCATAGGGGAGCCTCTCAAGTGAGAAACTGCTCAGTTATTCACAACATCAAAAGCTACATCAAAAGGCTTCCCACCTGACTCCCTTTCACCCTGTGCAATCGCATTGAACAGAGCGTGAAAGCCGGTGTTGGTTATCATTGAATCGCTGCGGAACACCACCGTCATGATGTCTGAGGAGGAGAAAAATAGCACAGCTGCTGGGGCACAGAACTTCCCCATGGAGAGCGAGGCAATCCTGGGGCCATCGAAGATCTCCACCGAGTCATAGGGACAGCCGAGGATATCTTCCAGCCTGCGGGAAGAGAAGTGGAAGGTAGTGGCAGGTTAGAAGCTTCCTAGATGTTAATGCTCCAAGTGTGACAATATAGAGCTCGAATATGTGGATTAGAGCTTAAGTTTCACACTAACATAGAAATATTGATTAATTTTTTCAGATGCTTTCTCAGAACTCCATTTTCTTTCCCTGAGGAATGTGTGCAACATATTTATGACAGAAGTTTTAAAATCTTAATTGGCCAGTCCCAACCTGCATAAGACATTAACAAATAAAAACAATATTTGTTATTACTGTAATAATACTGCAGCTAAATCAACAGTCAGATCACCTGATGATCAGCATGTAATGGGTGTCACAACCAGATCTCCCTACGTCTACAATTCACAGTATCTTCCATAACATCCAAATTCTTAGGAGGAAAAAACTTGATTTTAAAATGAAAGCAATAGCAGCATATAGAAGGGTATTTGCACTTTGGCCATTTACTTATGGGGGATATGATGAAGAGTGATGCTGAGGAAATACACAGCCCACATCATGATAGGCCGGGGAGGTGGACATTCAGGCTCCCCCTTCACTGTGGGATAATTACGTCCCTGTGGCTTCAGCCAACAAAGATAACGTGGCTTAGGACTTTATTATTTTGTTTGTTTTGTTGGACCGTCTGCATCCATGGCTTGGTGTAGTCATGACTGATCAACAGTTCAGAGCCTGGCCGAGGCTGGGTTATCAGGGATCCACAGCCTCGTCAGCGTGTGCGTCGCAGGTGTCATGTACAAGAAAGGTCCTGTGCAGACTCTGCTTGAGGGATTACCGATCAGTGAAGAGCTGAGTTCCGTGTCTGACAGACCTGTGTGGGTTGGCCTTGGGAAATGTATTGTCCCCTGGGAGTCAGTTTCCTCACCTCTAACAGGAATGACAACGACATCTATTTGGGAGCTGTATTAACCCCCAAAGCATAAAGGTGTACAGGACAGTGTGGGCACACAGTCATCCTTTAAAAAGTCAGCTATTATGTCACTGAGACAAAAATATGGCAGTGACTAAGGACTACACCTGCTCTCTTCATGTCAGGATGAGACCATGTCTTTTCTGTCTCCTTTCACTTTGTGGAACACTCAGAAGATACACGTCCCTGGGCTGGAGTAGTGGGCCAATGTGTGCATAAGGAAAGTCTCCTACTGTTTGTTTAAAATTTAAATTTAAAAAATAAATTTTAAGAAGAAAACTATTGGCACTCAGTGAATTACAAGGGAAAATGTGTTGAGTATTTTGTGATAATTTTAGGGGAAAAAAAATCAAAAGAGAAACTATCCAGGGAAGGTCAAGTGAATATGTTCACCAACAAAGTCTCAAGCTTACAATTCTGTAAATATTTCAATGAGATTGATAAAGACACATTAAAATGGGTTAAAAAATCATAATATAGACTTTGTATCCCTCATAAATATTTTCATATGCATATGGGAGGTGGATATGTACCTCTAATCATTCACCTATTATTTTTCTCAAAGGATTAGACCCATAAAACATGATAATTATTTCAAAGTTACCATAAGGTACTCATTTTAATTTTTTACAGGTGTTTCATACCTGGTAAATGAGCAAAGTGGGTTAATAAGCTACTTACTGAGTTTTTTAAGCTAGAAGTGACTCAGTGCATAACATTATGAATGTAAGCCAAATTTGACTTGGAAAGATGGTAGAGTTGTGTGTTCTTCTGGGTCCACCCTTAACTGTTTCCCACTAAAAGAGATATATTCATCATAATTTTACAACTATTATTGTTATGTGAATATTTAAAAGTTTTCTTACTTCAAACTTGGAATCGTGAGCTCTATGCGGAATTTTTTATCCACATGAATTTCCCAAACACATTGGATGTCTGTTGGGTAGTTTTCTGGATATCGTGGACTAGAAAATGAGCCAGAGAGACTAGAAATGACCCCTCCACAAGAGTTACTTCCTCCTGAAACAACAGGAAAGAAAAGATGTCAGGATGGTGTCACCCAGTGATCCAGTGGAGTCCAGTGGCCTTGTCTGGCTGGACACACAGAGCCATCTGAGCTGTCTTTAGCCTTCATTTCTCTTAGGAAGGAGAGTGCATTCAATATGATTCTGATGGGTCAAAAGTGTTAACCATTCATGAAAATTCCTTGTCTTTCCCTCCTCATTACCACCTGATAGAGAAGTGTGACCTTTGTCCTCTCTGCCTACTGCCTCCTTCCCTGGGGTTTTGCATGCTGGGAGAGAGGCCGAGCAGATCTACTGACTGAGAGGTTGGGAAGGAGAGACAAAGAGGTTGTGCACCCATGTAGGGGAGAGACTGGGGGGTCTGGGGAGCAAGAGGCACTAGAACAACTCTGGGGTCTGATGAGTCCGAGATGAAGGGAAAGGGACATGGAGCACTGCTTGGGGAGGCTGTGACTGGGACTCCCTCGAAGTACTTTTTCATAACTTTTCCCTGGTAGATTGTGTTTCCTTTAATTCAGTTGTACTCACACTGGAACTTGTAGTTTTTTGGACTTATAAGGGTAAACAAGATAACAGTGTACACACATGGGTACATTTAAAGCAGCATGACACGTAAGGAAGCAGAGACTTAGAATATCAAATGATCTTGGAGGAAGCTTGAAAACACAACCAGCTTTATTGACCTTGTCCCTACATATTGTAAAGTTGCTTAAGTTTTCTTCTTTCTGCTCCTCTGGCCAATTTGCAGTCCTATCACAGTCCTGCAGATTGCTTGTCCTTCCTGAGATGGATGTTGGGAAGTGGTAGCGCTCCTGGTTGTCCTAGAGTTTTATCACTAATCACATCTGTAGGTCACAATGACAGAGCCAGGTCAGCCTGACACTGAAGCCCCCGAGAATGGGACTCCCTGTACTCTCTCCACACATGTGGCAGGGGATGGTGGGCTGCTGCCTCCTCTCTACAGGACTGTTCCCAAAGAAGGCAGGCTGAGCCCGGGCCTGATGGGCTCAGGAGCCACATTCTCACATCTCTCGTCAGCCTCCTGCCTACTCTGACCTGCTCCTATCATTAAAAGTTCAGCATTTATATACAGATGTAATGCAACTCGTATTAAAATTCCAGTGATGTTCTTCATATAAATAGAAAAAGCAGTCATGAAATTCATTTGGAAAAATAAGAGGTCCAGAATAGCCAAAGCAATCCTTAGTGAGAAAAGTGAAGCAGCAGGCATCACAATACCTGACCTTAAATATACTACAGAGCTATCATAACAGAACCACATGGTATTGACACCAAGACAGACATGAAGACCAATGAAAAAGATAGAAGACACAGAGACAAACACACACAAGTACATTTGTCTCCTAGACAAAGGCATCATAAACATACATTTTAGAAAATATAGCCTTTTCATCAAATAATGCTGGGAATACTGGGAATCTATATGTAGCAGAATGAAATCGAACCTCTATCTCTCATCTTGCACAAAATCCAACTCAAAGTGGATCAAGGACCTAGGTTTAGACCAGAGGGGTTTGCCCCTACTAGAAGAAAATGTAGGCCCAAATCTTCATCATGTTGGCTTAGGAACCAACTTCCTCAATAAGATTCCTAAAGTGCAAGAAGTAAAATCAAGAATCAAATGGGATGATATCAAACTAAAAAGCTTTTTCACAGCAAAGGAGACAATCAAGAATGTAAAGAGAGAGCCCACAGAATGGGAGAAAATCTTTACCATCTGCACCACAGATAGAGCATTAATCTCCAGGATATATAAAGAACTCAAAAAACTTAACCCTGAAAAATGAAATAACCTGATTGATAAATGGGCAAAGGAACTGAACAATCACTTCATAGAAGAAGAAATACAAATGGTCAGCAAATATATAAGAAAATGTTCAACATCTCTAGCAAGTGGAGAAATGCAAATTAAAACCACACTGCAATTCTATTTCCCTCCAGTCAGAATGGCAATTATCAAGAATACTCATACATTGCTGGTGGGACTGCAAATTGGTGCAATCACTCTGGAAAGTATTAAGGGCGTTCCTCAGAAAACTTGGAAGGGAACCACCATTTGACCCAGCTGTCCCACTCCTCAGTCTATACCCAAAGAACTTAAAATCGGCATTCCACAGGGACACAGCCACATCAATGTTTATAGCAGCTCAATTCATAATAGCTAAGCTATGGAACCAACCTAGGTGCCCTTCAACAGATGAATTGATAAAGAAAATGTGGTGTATATACACAATGAAATATTTCTCAGCCATAAAAAAGAATGAAATTATGACATTTGCTGGTAAATGGATGGAACCCGAGACTATCATGCTAAGTGAAATAATTCAATCCCCCAAAACCAAAGGGTGAATGTTGTCTCTGATATGCTTATGCTAACACACAATAAGAGGTGGAGGGAGGAATACAAGTTCTTTGGATTAGACAAAGGGGAATGAAGGGAAGGGAGTGATGGGAATAGAAAAGATAGTAGAATGAGTCAGATATAACTTTCCTATGTTCATATATGAATACAAGACTGGTGTAACTCCACGTCATGTTCAACCAAAAGAATGAGAGCCTAATTAGAATAAGCTGTACTCCATATATGCATAAACATGTCAAAATACATTCTATTGTCATATATATCTAAAAAGAACAAAAGGAATTTTTAAAAGTTCAGCTTTTAGAGTTGCAGCAGAGAAGCTGGCCCCCTTGCCAGTGTCTCTTTGAGCTACATCCTGAGCAGCAGCCTCCAGTCTGCTCTGAGGGTCTCTTGACAGGGAATCATTTCCACTTACAAGAAGTGATTACCTGCTATGTGATCCTGAGAAGGTACAGAAGGACCTGGAAGAGAAAAAGAGGAGAAAATAATGACATCTGGGGGAAAATGTTCATTCTCATCTACAAGTTAGAGAAGCAGAAAGGCTTTTCCTGGAAATGTCAAGGACTTTAGTGTAAATCAAGAAGAGTTGGTGGTGCAAGTGAATGTCCTCGGGGGCCTGTGGCCGGCGAGAGCAGGTCCCACTTTCTTGGTCAGGTCACATGCTTCCTGTCAAGAGATGGGGTCTAGTTTCCCTCCCTCGAACTGCCTGGGCTCTGGGACTGCTTTGACCAACAGATCATGGCAGAAGGGGTGGTGATGTGCCTTTAAGGGACTGGCGGCTTCTATTTCCTGTCTCAGAACACTGGCTTGCTCCTGTGGCCCTACACCATCTTTTTGTTTTTGGCACTGGGGATTGAATCTAGGAGTGCTTAACTACTGAGCCACATTTCCAGCCCGCGTGTGTGTGTGTGTGTGTGTATACTTTTTTTTTTTTTTAAGAGATGGGGTCTCTGAGTTGCTCAAGGCCTCACTAAGTTGCTGAGGCTGGCTTTGAACTCGAGATCCTCCTGCCTCAGCCTCCTGAGCTGCTGGGATTACAAGCACTGTGCTACTGGACCCAGCATGACACCAACTTTTAAGACCTCTGACTGCCTTGCAGGAGGGACCCTGTTAGGAGCCCCTGAGACCACGTGGACAGGAGCCCATCCTTCCAGCAGCCCACATCCAGGCACACCAAGCATGGGAGTCAGCCACCAGAGAACACCATGGAGTGACCCTGCTTGACGCCCAGTGGAGCAGGATCCCCCACTGACCCCAGCCCACATTCCCCACCCACAAACCCATGACCTGTATCTAAATGGTGGCTGCTTCAGCCTCTAAGCTTTCCGGCAGCAACTGGCAACCAGATGGCTCCTCTCACTTGCCTTGTTCTCCTTTCCCCACTGTCCCTGCAATTTACCTGAACTGAGAAAACTACAGTTTGAATACCCAGGGCTCTCGCCCCTAACCGTGGCCCTCGAGCTTTAGACAGCCCTCCTTCTCACTCACAGCCCCCCACGTAGGGCTGGCCTTCCCCCAGAACACCCAGAGCACATCCAGGGCCCCTCCAGGCAGACGCAGGAGAGAAGCTTCTCCCAGGGCTTGTGGCTTCTCTGCAGCTGGGTGGGTGCATCCAGGTGCATCGAAGGGCAAGGGACGGCCTACAAACACCCAGTGCTGCCTCTTTTCAATCAAGTTATCTTGGGCAGGCTTTGGGATCTCCCTAATCCTTTCATTTTAAGAATAAATAAAGTAATTTATCTGGAAACCCTTGCACCACACCTGTGTTGAACAGGTGCTTGGAAGTATTGTCACAATGAAAGGAAACACCAGTGTCACATCGGAATTCACTGAGCGTGTGTTGGTCTGCTGTTTTCTAATTTCTGGTTTTATCACAGATGGATATCATTCAATCATTAAGTCATAAGAGCTGTGCAAGCAGGAAAAAGTCACACGATCCCCAAGAGCTTCAACATTAGGGTCAGATTGGTCAGTGTCAAAATGTGGTTCTACCATTAACTTGCTGAGTGATCTTGAGAAAGTTACTCAACCTTTCTGTGTCTCACATTTCTCATCTGTAAAATAACATATAGTTCCTTTTTGCAGGAGTGCTTTGCTGATTAGCAATAATCTGATCAAAACATCCCCTATCTTGGCTCTAGTTTTGCCTGGTTTTTGTGTATCCAGGGCCAATGCATGGTATGGAGACTAAGATGGGTGGTCAAGGGCACTGATTACCCACAGGCCTGCCCTGTGAACCTTGCTAATTTACTATGTCTCAGTTTATATTTTTTATATTGAAAGTGTAAATAATTGAAGTACCTACCTCAAGGGGTTATTTGGAGCATGATATGAGTTACAGATAATCCCTGAATTATGAGGTTTCAACTTACAGTTTTTAGACTTTCCAGAAGTGTGAAAACAGTACTCACTCAGTAGAGACTGTGCTTCAGACTGTGAATTTTGATCTTTCCCCAGGCTAGCAGTCACCAGTGGGTACCGCCCTCTGCAGCAAGCTGCACTCCTAGTCCACCAGGCATCAGGGGAGTGCTCAGCCCTGTAGCTAAGCTCCGAGCTTGGGCAGGTTAGGCTAGGAAGTGCCTCCTTCAACTTAGGATGTTTTCCAACTTGCAACGAGTTTATCGGGACCTAACCGCATCGTAAGTGGAGGAGCGTCTGTCTGTATGTGAAGGGCTCAGAACAACGCCTGGCCCTTAAGTATTTGCTGCTTTTATTATTATTGGTGTTATTATTATTATTGGAAAGTTGCCTGAATCAGGAAAAAATATGGACATACCTGGAGGTGTGGGCGGAGGCAGGTCTGCTGAATCTGCTGCACAAAGAAAGGTAATAGGTCACCCTCTTGAATGAGTCCACAGTGTGGAGGAGGTGGGGTGACAAGGGTGTCCTTAGTGGATGGAGGAGGAAGGACCACGGCCTTTCAAGGAATATGAGCCCCGAATACTAGAGCGGTCCCCGGGCACCTTCAGCCCCCATGTGGCAAGGTCTTTGGCCGGAGGACTGGGGCTCAGCAGCTGGGTCAACTCTGCCTCATGGCGGCCAGGCTTGGATTAACTTGGTCACTGTTTTGGGGACAGGGCACTGGAACCTGCACTGCACTGCCCAGGTGGGGCTGCTGTCCACTGTCACCTAAGACCTCCTCTGTGCGACCCTGGAGCCACCCACACAGGGGCATTGTCCGAGCCCAGTGCTGGCCTCAAGTGGTGCTCAAGGAATGGGCAGATGGAGGGATGGAAAAGTCCATCCAGGAAGATAGCTTTAGAACGTCTTCAATCACACTACCCGAAGCATTTTCTTGAGAGGGAGAGTGTACCTGAGCAGATGACACTGGCATCCTCGTGGTGGTCACAGTTGTGCTCTGACCAGCCCAAGTGGGCGCACTGGCCCAGGTGGCGCTCCACTCCAGAGCACTGCAGGTTGTCCAAGAAGATGTCTCCTGAGCCTGGGCCAAAGTAGGCCCCGCCAGGGCCAGAAATGGCCTGTCCACACTCCAGCTGACGGCACACGACCTTGGCTTCATTCAGGTCCCACAGGTCATCACACACAGTGCCCCAGGTCCCCTGGTGGAGGATCTCCACGCGTCCTGAGCACCGTCCGGAGCCGCCCACCAGCCGCAGCCCTGGCCATTCCCCTGCAGACAGAAATGTGGTGTGCGAGTCCCCTCAAAGCTCTGCCTGGGGTCCAGCAGCACTAGGCCCAGAAGTGGGCTGGGAGGGGCACCCCTAGCCTCAAGCCTGGGGCCTTGTTCCTCACACGTCTCATGGTTTCCTGAGCTGCAGGCCGTGAGGTCTTTATTAAATTTCATTTCATTTCAACAGTATTTCCTGACTGTCTTCCCTGCAAGGTGGTGTGGTGCAGCCATAAACCTGAGGTAGGGTTTCTGCCCTCAAGGATCCCACAGTCTATTCACTAGTGAAACACAGACCGCAGCACGATGCACTATTCTACCCTGTGACAGGCATCAAGGGAAAGAATGGGGTGCTATGAAGAGTGACAGAGAGGTGGTGGCTGGGAGGCACCTCCTAAAAAGTGAGAAGGAGCCAGTCAGGGGAAGAGCTGGGGAAGGTCCTCGGAGCCAGTGGGACTAGCACGTGTAGAAAGACCAAGAGGTGGCTTCACTTCCGCAGCTCTGAAGACAACTCACCTGGACTGTTCAACAGAGATTCTGCAGCATCTGTAGAGAGGAAAGATAAATACATCAGCATTTTGGGGGAATCCTGACTTCAATAACTGAGGATGAAGCTTTAATTATATCCTTCTACATGTTTATTAATGCAACATGAGAAAGTTAGACCCAGTAAATAACATAGTATTAGAAGAAACAGATTCATCTATAGACAAATGTAAGTTTCTGTGTGGCTTTGCTAGTGCTATGGGAAAATGACCAGGTGTGAAAGGTACATTTAGGATAAACTGACAAGCTGTTGCTTTTGTAGCAGATGAGTTTCACTTTTGGGGTCTCTGGGGGCGCCTCAGATTAGATAATCATCTTCTAGAACATTGAAATTTGGGGATAACAGGAGCCCACAAGTCTATAACTAAGTTAGAGGGTGCTCCACACAGTTAGATGCCACAAACAGGTGAATAAACAACACATAGGACAATGCTTTTAAATGTGTGCCTTAGGTTAAAAGTCACGGGGAGTGGGCTGGGCATACAGTGGAGCTTCTGCTCACACGGGCCGCTCCATGGAGCGAGCACTGATTCGAGTTGTGATTGCTGATTCTTTCAAGTCACATCAGGGATTATGGCTGTATTTTGTCCCATTGCAGAGAGGGCTATTAATAGTCACTCCAGAGGTGACTAATTTGCTTCCTACTAAAGGTTCCCAATGAGTAAATACAAGGTTTTCAAAAAAAAAAAAAATTGTCACAAAGAAACTAAAATTGGTTGCTTCAGTACACAGATTTCCTCTGTTACAATTGAGTGGGGACATGGCAGGAAGAGGGGTCAAATGTGCAGCCTCTTTGCCAGCCGCTATGCCAGGGCTTTGTCAAAGACATCTCTGTTCCTATTGGCAGTCCTGCAAGAAAGCAACTAATTTTTTTTAATATTTATTTTTTTTAGTTGTAGTTGGACACAACACTTTTATTTACTTGTTTATTTTTGTATGTGGTGCTGAGGATCGAACCAGGGTCTCACACGTACCAGGCAAGTGCTCTACCGCTGAGCCACAACCCCAGCCCCCGAAAGTAACTAATTTTATAGATGAAGAAACAGAGGCTCAGAGGGTTTAAGGGCCACCCAGATACAGTCTGGGTGTTCACACCAGCTCTGAGAGCCAGCTCGGCCTCCCCAGCTCCACTGCCTCCTGTGGCCTCTTTGATTGAGCTCTTTTACAGAAGCCCCTGGAAGGATCCCCACAGCGCACATGCTGTGTACTTTCAGCGAAGCACACTTTCCTTTGCTAATGCTCACCACCAAACGAGAAAATCAAAATGTTTGATTCTGGAGCCTGGTAGTTAAAACATTGTATAATTAGCCAAGTTGGAAGAGGAAGAGCAAAAATCAAATGCGGTGAGTTTTGAGGATCCTGTCTTTCTCCCTGACTACCTCTGAGTGCTGGCAGGTGGCGTGGTCTTGGAGCACTCTGGTGCTGGCAGTGCCCATCTGAGAGAGAGAGGTTACCTGAGCAGATGACACTGGCATCTTCATGGTGGCCGCAGTTGTGCTCCAGCCAGCCCGAGTGGGCACACTGGCCCAGGTGACGCTCCACCCCGGCACATTGGAGGTTGTCCAGGAAGATGTCTCCTGAGCCTGGGCCAAAGTGGGCCTTCCCCAGGGCAGACATGGCCTGCCCACACGCCAGCTGGCGGCACACGACCTCGGCTTCATTCAGGTCCCACAGGTCATCGCACACGGTGCCCCAGGCCCCCTGGTGGAAGACCTCCACGCGTCCTGAGCAGCGTCCAGAGCCGCCCACCAGCCGCAGCTCTGGCCAGTTCCCTGCAGATGAAGACCCACTGACTGCTGTCCTCTGGGAGTGGGGTGTCCTTCCATGACACCGTTGAGCTCCGCCCCTCACACCCGCGTTAGAGACAGAGAACCTGGGAGCCGACAACTGGAGTTTGATTAGTCATGGGACTGCCAACAACTTTTAGCTTAAAAAAAAATCCATTAACTATCTATTTTGCCAGAGGTATGTGCCAGTCGGTTTGGGGTAAATGCAGAAAAACATTACAAATAGTTTGCATGAGGATTTGTGATTTTGTGAAGCACTTTCATGTGCGTGTTCACCTTTATAATAACTCCAGGTGACACTACAAGAGTACTGATGCACCTCAGGGATACAATGAGGAAGCTGGACGTTGGAGAATCCATAAGCAGCAGACCTATACTGAGGTCCCCGCCTCCAGGGTTCACCTTGGTTTCTCTGCCCTTCTATCTGCTGACTCTGGATTGGCTCTGGCACTCCACTCACTCCAGAAAAGCCCATTTGTGGTGCCAACACGAGGCTGACCTTGATCATGACTGGCACCAGGACAAAAAGACAATCCTGCTGGGAGGTATTTGCAAACTGCTCAGGCTTTGAGGACACTGAGCCCCCGCCCCCCAAAACAAGACAAAAAAGAAAGAAAGAAAAGGAATCTGCTCATGGTGGGGTGCCAGAGCCAGATCTGAAAATCTGGAATGGCCCTGCAGCCTGCGCAGAGCCAGCTGGCTCATTTGCAGGTAGATGAACTGTGTGCAGTTGGCTTCGTTTCCCTACATGGAGCAGACACAGAAGCACAGACCAACGCAGACTCCGAGAGGAGGGGACACGGTCAGGGGAGGGGGCGTGCGGGGCTTACCTGGTCTTGCCGTTCCAGACTTGGGTATTGATGTGGGGATGGCTGTGGATACAAGGAGACACCCTTGAATCAAAAAGGAGGACTGGGGCAAGTCAAGAGGTGACATTCTGAGAGCAGTTATGTGCCCAGCTTCTGGCTGATTCTTTCTCTGCCTTCTGTATGGTAATGACCTTCCAAATCACTCGTTTCTCATGGGTCTTATTTCTAATCTACATTTGGGCCAATTGAAATAATATTCCCTTCTACCCAGTCGCTGAAAATGTGCAATACTTCGAGTGGGCCATTCTGTGCTAAAATACCAACATTCACACCCAGTGTCCTTCTGGGGAAAACTGCTGTCCTTCTTGCTTGCTTCTGCTTGGTCAACTTTCCCTCGACATGGAGTATCTAATTAGGTGTGTTTCAACGTCTTTGATAGAAACAAGAGACTAGGAAATCAAATAGACAATTATCTTTATATAGGAACCTGATTACTGATAGGCACAACTTGTGAATAGGCAGACATCATGCAGACAGAATCTCTCCACCACCATAGGTTTATACATGGAATTGGAAAACATGTTTGTAAAAGCCCTGGGAGGGAGGACAAGCAAGAAACACAAACTAGGCCTGTAGATTAGTAACAAAACAAAGAAGGACTCACTGATTAGATGTGGGGTCTGTAACACAGCCTCTGCAAATACAAGAGACATCATCAGGGCTGCTTGATGCCAATCATGGTGATTTTCCCTGATCCACTTTGTGCTGCAGAACATCTCCTCTGCTCTACAGCGTGTTTCCCCAAGAGGTTCCTGAGTCACCCTGGCACTTGCGAGAGCCACTGGAGACTGTTCTGAGCCCCATCTTGGACAAGGTAGACGTGAGGCACTTGCAGTTCTATTGGCTTTGCCTGTTTCCTCTTGGCAGTAAGTAGTGCAGGACCTCAGATAATTATGGAACCCTGGAAACCTTGGTTCCCCCAAATGTAGAAGGGGATGAACCATGGTTTTATGGTTTTATGTAAGGGTAACACGTGGCAGCGAATTTGAAATGTGCTGCATAATTATAATAGACAATAAGCACTAGCTATTACTTTGACTATTTGGATCTTTGTTGTTGTTACTGATTTGTTTTGCTGACTGGACTGGGCTGTGCTTCAGGAGAAACCCTTGGCTTGGCTTCTGCCCGCCTTCCCGCACACCTTGAAAGCCCTGTCCCTGGGTGCTCGCTGTTCTCTCTCCTCGCGTGCCTCTCCCCACTTCCCTGCTCGCAGCCTTGCCAGTTTCAAAGCCAAATCCAAAGGAGGCTGGTTCCCTGGTTTTCAACACTATGCATAGCCTCTGCCTGTGCTGCTCTTTCTTGTTCCCAATATCTTTCTCCAAGATGCATGCATGTGTCGATTTAGTATGTTCTAGTACGTTCTCTCTGTTCTACGGGTTTGCCTTGGTCCAGGGTATTCTATCTGTCCAGCTACATCATGTGTATTTGTCTTACTTCCTTGAGGTCGTGTTCAGCTTTCCTTAGGCTAAGATCACATCTTCTGTAGGTCCTAAAATTCCCACCTCAAACCAGATTCAGAGTAACGTCGGAAATGACTTCCCAAGGCGCTGACAGTGGAAACGCGCCCAGGACAGAGCAGCCAGCCGCTGCATCCGGGATGTGACGTCGCTCTGCTGAGCGCACTGCGCGTCACGACATGCGTAGCTGGCAACAGCCCTCACTCAGGAGTAAGGTCCTCCTGCTTTCCCCACAACAGAGCAGGAGTGCCAAGCCATTTGCCCAAAGTCACAGAGCAAGTGACAGTCCCCAGGCAGTCAGTCCAGAATTGCGGCTCCAGGCCACCATTCTTACCTTTGTTTGCAGAATAATAATAAGCAGTGAAGTGTTTGCCTATGTTGTTGGAGCTTCGGAAGTACACAAGGGTCACCGAGCTGGAGGAGGACGTGTAGGTGAGGTGGGAGCCAGAGCAGCTCCTCCCCAGGGACTTTGCTGAAGCTGGGGGACCGTCCAGGATCTCAACATATTCATTGGCGCAGTCGAGGCTGGGGAGAGAAACAGCCACGGGGTCTCTCAGTCTCCTCCTCAGAAGGTCTGGAAGGTGACGTATGTGACAAGCTTGTATGTGGCTACAGAGGCCGGGGACAAGTTCAAAGTCATGTAGAGACGGAATGGGTCTTTTCAGCCTGCTTCTTCTCCCTGGTGCCACTACCTGTAGGGAAGGGGATTGTAGCTGGGAGAGGAGGAGGAGCTGGCTCTAGGTTACCCTGCTCGGGGCTGGGACAGCTGAGGCTGCGGGACCTCCCAGCCGGGAAGGGCAGGCCAAGGCTATCCAAGGTCATCCCACCACACAGCCACCTGGGTAGGGAGGGCCCAAGGTGCACAGGCTGCTGGGCTCCATGTGGGCCCGCAGTGGGAGCAGCTCCAGTTCCCAACAACCCATTTACAAACTTCTGGCAGCCAACCTGCTTAGAGGGAAGCAGGCCACAGTTCTACCCAGCTTGCTTTCTGGAGATCATCTGATCTTGTCCAAAGTTGTTCTCTGTGAACTTCTGTCCAACTACCACCAGAGACCATTTCCAGGTCACCACCTGAGAGCCATTGTTCCAAGCCATCCTTCCATTAGGCAAAATCCAGGAGTAATAAGAAATTTACATTGTTCCTAGGGCTTCATTTCCATGGGGCATTCATCTATGAATGACATCAATCTTGCATATTTATGATTTTAAAACCTAAAATTTCCTGACTTAATAGGTGTAAGGTTTTCCTAGACTGCCTCTTTAGCCAGCTGGTTAGGACACATACTCTGTCTTTCTTCTGTCTTTCTGTCTATCCCTACATCCCTTTCTCACACACACACACACACACACACACACACATACACACACACACAATCTATCCAAAGCTCATAGATGATTTTTATTTTAATTAAAAATTCATGGAAATATACAAAAATCAGTCATATTTCTACATATGAGCAAATGCCTGGAAACCCAAACTGAAAGCGGTGTTGTTTACAATTGCTCCAACAACAACAAGAAAGAAAGATAGAAATGCCTAAATATAATCTAACAAGACACATAAAAGATCTGCCTAAACAAACAAACAAACAAACAACCCCAGCTAACATTAAAAAAAAATACCAGATGCTCCCTAGGATGTGGAGAAACAAGATCTCAGGTGTTGCTGGTGACATGTGACATGGAAGTTACTCTAGAAAACAGTTTAATGTGTTCTAAGAATTTAAACATGTACACACTACACAGTCCAGCAATCACACTCTTGGGCATTAGTTATTTCCTCGAAGAATAACTAATGTTTTCACAAAAACCTGCATGTGAATGTCCATAGAAGCTTTCTGTGTAATACCTAAAGATGGAAACAACAAAGATGTTCTCCAAGGAAGAGAGGATTAAAGAAACCTGAATGCATCTTCAGGAACTCTTCAGGGAACTGTGCTGAATGGAAAAGTCAACCCCAGTGCTACTGTAGGCTTCCATCATATAACATCCTCAACATGACCTACTGTAGAGGTAACAGATTGTTTTTAGGGGGCAGAAAGAGGGGCAGTTTGTGAATGCAAAGGGTGAAAGGATGGTTCCCTTGTGGTAACAGAGCAGTTTTATATCTGGAATATGGTGCTAGTTATGTGACATGGGATAAAAATGCATGCAACTACACACACACAGACACACACACACACACACACACAAGTACATGTAAGATTAGTGGGAATTGAATGAGATCTGTAGTCCAGCACACAGTATCACAACCAGCGCCAACTTCCTGGCTTCGACATTGTTCTACAGTTGTGCACGTGACACCACCATTGGTGGAAGTTTGGTGAGGGGTCTGCAGGACTCAGCATTACTTTCCTATGCATCTGTGGCTATTTCAAAAGAAAAAAATATGCACAAAGGACACTTTTGCTTAAAATATCCATTAAGGAAAAAAAAGTAATTGGGATTTTTAAACTGCACAGTGAACTGAGGTAATGCACTTGGCACTCACTCGAGACACGGAAATGCCAGCCATATACGGTGAGACGTGTTTGCCGTGATCTCCCACATGCAGGTTATGTTGTCGTGCATTTCATACTTTGGAGGATTTCTAATGCTTCCAGATGAGTGACTAACAATGCCACCACACTGAGAATTTTCTAAATAAAGAGAGAGATTTTAGAATTTCAGTTTATTTCATTGTTCAGTCAAGAAATTTTCTAATTCACACTCTCCCACACACTTTCCCAAAAAAGGTTTCATGGGTTATCATTTTGTGGTGTCTTAGGATAGAGTAGAGGTATAAACTAGTCTAAAAGGTATTGCAAACTTGGGAAACTAGAGCATGAATGTGTCTGAAGCTAGAAACATCTATTCTCTCTTTTGGGAATCCTACCATGGACATGGCCTTGCTGGAAAGAGCTGGTGCCCTACATTGGCCCAACCCTTCCCCTTGGTTACTCCTTAGTCATGGGCTATAACTTTGAATTTTGTCAGCCCACCTGTGGTTATGAGTAAAGTTCTCCTTCAGTTTGGTCAATTAAGGCCAAGACAATGTAGACTCTCGGTGGATACGATGATGGCAGGACCCCATTACTGTCAGCCGTAATTTCTTAAAATTACATTCTTAAAATCTATTATTTAATAAAAGAAGTTGCCCTGAGCTATCCACCCCTGCAATAGCCCTAATGCCGATATCATTTTCTGTCCCCCTGTCCACCCATCTGTTTGGTTCTTCGTCTGCTTGTCTTATTTATCTGGCCATCCAACATTCAGTTCAAAATTAAAGGTGACACGGTGACAATGGAAACAGCTGGCTTTTCTCCTTCAGATTATCTGGACCTACACTCAGTTGGCCCTGGTCATCTAATTGTGGCTCTTCTCTAGAAGGACCACCCACTTCTCCAACATTAGTATTTTAACTCTTTATCCCCAAGTAGTGCTAAGTACAGTGGAGCTTCTGGAACCCAAAGCACAGGCAAAACGGGGCGGGGGAAATGGCAGATGAGAAAGAAAGTGTAGAAAAGGAGGACAGAGAATTTTCAGAGAAAGGGAAAGCGTGGAGGAGGAAACTGCCCATCATGGTGGACACGCTCTAAAAGCATGGCCCTGGGCAGCACCCTGGTGGCATCACTATGGTAACAGCTGCAGGTTTTCCCTCCATTCATGGCGGGCTTGCTGGAAGGCCGGCCATCAGGGCTGGCATCACTTGGTTGTTTGGATTTCCTTCTTTGACTGACGAGAAATGGAGTGAACCCTCATTCCACTGGCCATCGTTATTAGGTTCTTCTCTTAGAAGATAGTATCTGGGCACATTTTCCTTGAAGAATCATTTCAAAGATTGAGCTATAAGACATTGAACAGGGCTCCAGGGACACACGTTCTCACCTGTAGCCACTGTCTCTGCCAGCGTAGTCAACTGGTGACCTGTGAAACACAAAAAGGACACGTGAACCAGCATCTGGAACTGATATCCACACACTGTCTGCACATGAAAATCCTGAGGAGCTTTTAACACACCTACTGTCTCCGCTCCTCCCAGAACCACTGAACGAGTCTCTGGGGGAGGCCTGAGTGTGCACCTTTAATGTGCAAGAGGTAAGAGGCACTGATCTGAATTCTTCCCAGACTTTGATGCATATTCTTTCCTCAAACGTGAAAATGAGATGTTTTATAATAAGAGGATTTAGGAAAACTAAAGACTTGAAATACTGGCCCCTAGGCCTCTTCTGGTGACCCAAAGGCTGGGAGTTATGAGCTTATGCTGTGGGAACAGGAAGGAGCACAGAGGCAGATGCCCTTGACCCAGTGCTGCTCGAGGTGCTGAGTCAGGACCCAAAGAAAGTGTGGGCTTGCCTCCAGGTCCCCAATATCTCCCCACCAGAAACACTCAGCTCAGCACCTCCCTGGATTCTCTTCCTGGATCACTTTATTTCCACCTGGTAGAGTTGACTACACAGGAGGGGTGTGAATGCTTACCAGACCTTATCAAACCATGTTCATTCATAACTCTGACTGAGAGGTGACTGCCAGTAGAAGAACCCTGGTGAGGAACAGAGAATGGGCATGGGAATCTAGGTGTCGAGGCCGAGAGTGTGTGGGGAGCCAACAGCAGGGGCTCTGGGGTCGGGGCAGAGATGCACCAGGAACAAGGCAGAGGCAAGAGGGGTGGAACTGAGATTGGCTCAGCTTGGCTTTCCCCAGATCTGTCCCAGTGGCCATTCACCCCTGGGCAGGAAGCACCCTCACCATCACCTGTATCCTCACCACCTCCCACCCAATCATAGCTCATTGCACCTATGTAAAACCTCAGAACAGAAGCACCCACAGTGCTCTTCAGAAGTCGGAGATATTGAGAAATCCACCTCCTGTATGTGAAATTCATGGTGAGTAAATAGAGAGGTAGCCAGTGAGGCGCGGCTAGGTGACTGCTGAGGTATATCCACCTCTCCCCTGGACATCTCTCAACCCCCTCCACAGGCTTAGAGGACAAGACATCCAATTTCCAGCAGAACCTGTTCTCCAAGGTGCTGATGAGCTGCCCACTTGAACAGCACCCTCCTTACCTGGTGGTGAGACAGTTGACTGTTCAGCACCTGTAGGCAGGGGAGAGGACGACATCTGCCGTGAGTGAATGGCACGGATTCAAGTCCAACTGTATAAAGCACGCTCTTGGAAAGAGCTAGTCTGGGCCCCATCTGGAGGGGCACAGGGGTTACCTGAACAGATCACGCTGGCATCTTCCTGGTGACCACAGTTGTGGGAGAACCAGCCGGCATGGGAACATTCCCCAAGGTGCCGCTCGTGTCCTCCGCAGTGCACATCGTCAAGGAGGATCTTCCCAGAACCTTCCCCAAAGTGGGCCTCGCCTGGGGCTGAAATGGCCCGGCCACACTCGAGCTGCCTGCAGACGATGTTTGCTTCTGAAAGGTCCCAGAGGTCATCACACACTGTCCCCCAGACTCCTTGATAGAAAACCTCCACACGGCCAGCACACCTCTCAGGGGTGCCTACCAGCCGCACAGGTGCCCAGCCTCCTGGGGAAGGACAAAGGCTCAAGTAGTGAGAGCTGCCCCCAGCTCACTGGTGACAGGACTATTGTCTACATGACAGATTCTCGGTCCTAATTTTCCTTGGGCTGCTCTGAGTGAGTCCATGCCACTCACCAGACATGTGGGCTCCAGCCTGTGACATCCCTTATCTGCACCCTACTTTAGGACCGCTTGCCTGTGGGGATTATTTCTAGAAGTGGGTCCAGTTCTTCTCTTCCCTATATCCTCACTCTTTACAATGTGCCGCGTGACCTCTCCCATTTGGAATTTGGGCTCTTTCTTCACTCCTTGACACTGGGCTGGGGGCCTTTGGCTCACCTTGGCCAAGGGAGCATTGTGCTTTGAGGGCATGAGAGGCCTCCCAGGCTGCAGCTCACCCTCTGGGCACTCGGGAGCATCATGTGAATAAGCTTGAGCTGAGTGATGAAGGACATGCAAGTTTGTCACCTCTGTCACTTCAGGTGACAACTATAGAATTCCCAGACATGTGAGGGAGGCCATCCTGGGACAGATAGTCTTTGACCACAGATGCATGAGCAAATCCAGCCAAGTTCATCTGAACCTATCCTGAATCCACAGACTGCCCAGCTGACTACTTGTGAGTAGTTATCAATGGAGGTTGTTTTAAGCCACAGCGTTCTGGGATGGTTTCACGTGGCAATAGATAACTTACACACATCTTTGTCCATATTCTCTTTTTAGATAACCTGCTCCTTCCATAGTCAGGATGAGACATCGGGCCAAAGCCATAATCCCCAGGGGAAGTCTGCCTGATCTGATGTGGAGTGCACATCTGACCCCAGGGAAACCAGTCCAGGTGCTGGACTGTGCAGGGTCTCTCTGCTGGGTATCTGGAATTGGGAAGAGAGCTGGAGGACTCGGGGGGATGACGCTTCCATTGGGGGCAACCATGATAGTCATACATGAGCAGATAAGTGAACAGAGAAACTGCTCAAAATGACTCACGAGGGGGACAGAGGAAGAAGGGAGGTCCCGAGAGTGGGGGGATGACTCTATGGTGTGTACCCCCTGGGCTGGGCTCTCCAAGACCCATCTATGTCCCACCATATACTCCCTTCAATTAATCTTTCCTGAATGGGGATTTGTACCATGAAACCAAATGCTCATCCATTAGCAAATGCCCCCCTATTTCCATTTACTTGGTTTAAGGTACCCATTCCTGCCCACTGAAATCCCCCCGTCCTTCAGATTCCATCCCCAGTAGCTCCATTTGATGAGGTCTGTGATCACCCAGACCAGGACTGACATTTTTGATTCTCAGCCACTTGCTGTGGTTCTCCTGGGACCGTCATGTGTAGAGCCAACAATGCACACGTGTTCTCTCCCTGAGCAGGTGATAACCGGGAGGTTGAGTGGACAGAGACGTAGATGTCGGGTCAGGGTGAATGGGTCTGAAGCCCAGCATCCCTGACTAGCTCTGTGGCCTTGAGGAGAAGGGGAATCACAAGCTGTCATGAGGCGGAAGAGAGGAAGCGCACTTGGAAGAGGGCTTGTCAAGGCGTGTTCTTGCTTGGTAGGTGGCTGGGGATGCCGAGAGGGGTCCAGATCTCACATGTCTGGGGTGAGATGGGTGTGCAAACAGTGGGTGTGGTCATGAGTGTTGTAGAAGTGTGTGCAGAAAGCACTCCCCAGGGGTCACAGAACAGCACCAGCCATGCTCTGAGGATGCAGGGGGAGCATGGCAGGGCCTCTCACAGACCACCTCCCTCCACATGCTAGTTGAGCTATAGTTTTCTGTGTACAAGACTTGTCTCCTTACTAAATGACATGCTCCCTGAGAACGGGGACTGTGGGAGTCATTCACACATTATCCAATGCAGGACCTGGTTCAGTGCATGGTGGGCACGCAGGGTGGAAAGTCAATAAACGAATGGGGGGGGGGAGATGGAATGTGAATTCAAAGACTTGAAAGTCACAAAACCATCAATGGCGCCGTTGCCATCTTCTCAAGGCCATGGTCAGTAGGCCTGCTGGGCAGTATCTCACCCAGAATACTTTCAGTCCAGGATAGTGGTGGTGGCTCTTCTCAGTCCCCCCAAATCTTTTGGCAGTACCAACAGATCAAGGGAGTAATCAGGTTGAATATTTCACTCCTGTCTTATCTAGCCTCAGGCTGGACCTAGCTTATAAAAATCCAAGGCCCAACTTAATCTGAATTCCCCTAAATATTACTTATCCCTGACCACATTAAAAACAAACAAAAACATCTCAGAGGGCCTGAGCCTCCTCCCTTGTCAGTGACTGTGTGGTTATTGGCTGCTCTAAGTCCTGTTCTGGAAAGTAGCCGTCTCCTGCTCCATGGCCCATGGAGACTCCGTCTGGGACTTTCCTGTATGGTACAGTCCCACTGCCCTCTCACCCTCCAGGCCCTGCATGAGGTACTGTGTCCTGCCTGACCCTCAGGTCTGGATGGTGACCCTCTTCCAGGCACCCCAACACCCCATCACAGTGTTCACTACTCCACGGTACCACCCCACCCACTCAGCCCACACCAGGGCCTCCTTCGTTCAATGCTCTACAGGTCCCCAGTGACATGCGTTCACTCATCCCTTCATTGTCAAAGGAGCAGAGTTGTCCAAAAGCTGTAACACAGAATGACACAGCCCTACCTGCCAGTGCAGAGGAAGGTGGGTGCTGAGTTGCTGGCATCACTGAAGAGGTGGGCAGCAGGTTCTCATGGGCTAGGGATGGGGAAGGAAGGACAGTCGTCAGAGCAGGGTTGCATCATGGGAGAAGAGACAGTTTCTCCAAGGGGGTGCCTGCCTCCTGCCAGGACTCAGTAGGAAAAAAGATGCCACAGGGTTCCAAGGCCAGGGACCTCATAGCCCCAAGGTCTCTCCTGAGAGTAGGCCAGGGCACTGCTGCTTGTTGGCCACATGGCTGCGGAGAAAGCAAAACTCATGGGGAACTGTTCCCACGTGACCTGCGGTAGGAGAGGCCACCAGCTGTCCACTGTATCCCTTTGCTGCCTTCTCCCCTCGTCTGCTGCCCTCTGACCTCCCCTGAAGGAGGCAAGGATGGTCAGTCACACAGCAGATCTGTCAGGGAAGGGGGTCAGCTCTGAAATGGCACCTGGAAATCTTACTGAGTGTCTTTACCATGGAGGTCACACACCATCACCACAATCCACCGTGAGGAAGCCTTGTGTCCCATGGAGAGAGGCAGCTTGGGACTGATTGGGTGCAACCTGTGGAGCCGATGGTTTGCAGAGAAGCTACTGCAGGAGCAAGTGGGAGAGAACCAGGAAAGACTGGGAAGCGCAGTGAGGTAGAGAGCCAGCTAGAGGGACAGATGGCCTTGGGAAGGTCAGTAGGCTCAGAATGGGGAGGGCCTTGGGCATCAGCTGACAAATTTGGCCTGTCACCCAGAGGTCACAAACTGTAAAGTCTGTGGGCCCATACAGATAAGTATGAGGTCTGAGTAAAGGGACCAGGTGATTGGAGAGTTGTTCTGGGTCCAGAGGGGCAGCCTCTCGGATCTGGCCAGTTGGTATAATAAAAGAACTTGCTATTTTGTACCTTCGCCATTTTCATTTCTTTCACTAGATTAAGAATTTTTACTGTTGTTGTGATGAATGTTGTGATTTTTAGATTCAAGTTTAGCCTGAATTTTCAAACTAGACAGCCCACTTCTGGGCCTGGATCAGTCTGTGAGCTGTGCTTGGCCCTCTGGGCAGTCAAGGGGCATGGTTAGGCTGATGCCAAACATGGACGAAACATAGGCAGCTTTGGTGACCTACCTAGATCTGCTGTGTTCCTGGACTGAACTGTGGCGTGTGTGTGTCTGTGTGTGTGTGTGTGTGTTGCGGGGTGAGTGTGTGTGTGCATGTGTGTGTGGGGGGGTGCAGGAGGGGAGGACTGGAGGGGGAGCTAGGAGTCCCCTCCAATGCTGACAGCCAGCCCCTCACCTGCACCCTCCAGGTGCCCACAGTTGTGCCCACCCTGGCCCCTGGGCCATGCTGCCCCAGGTGGCTCTTGCTGCCACATCCTGCATGCCATCCTGCTGGGTCTTCCCAGAGCCTGCCCCAAAGTGGGCCCCCGTGGGAGCTGCCCCCACCTGGCCACACTGCAGCTGGCGGCACATGACAGTGGCCTCAACCAGGTCCTAGAGGTCACCACCCACTGTCCCCCACATGCCCTGAATGAGGCTTCCATGCAGCCTGAGCCCCTCCCTGTGGCACTCGGAGCCTCACCTCTGTCCAGGCTCCTGGAGCAGGGAGCACAAAGAGGAGGGACACTGGGTGACATGCCTCCAGTCTCTAGAAGGTTTTTTTTTCCCTTTAAATCCCCAGGTGGCCATGTCCTCCTTTCACATACATGTAAGATCCCATAGTTCTCATGCACCCACACACGAGCAATAGCCAGAATCATCTCCAACTTCATGTGAAAATTGGGCTTTGCTACTTCCTCTCTTCCAAAAGATGAACGTCTCTTTAAGGAACTTCTAAAACTCCTAACAGGAATATGTCATTCTTATATGATTCCCCAGCTGTGGACGGGAATAGACATGAGAGATGTCAAAATATCCAGTGAAATATCACCTAGCAGGTCACATAGACACCTCCTCAGCCACAACTACTTTGTCCTGGAGCAAAGAGGCCCCTTTGTCTCATAAAAATCTTTTTGTGTGGCTATATTGTGGCATTTGTTGTTTGTGAGTGAAAAGCAGGAGCTCCCAAGAACCACTAACTTACATGTTTCTCTCTTAATTTTTACAACAGGCTTTCCATTTTGCAGACAAAGAAACTGAGACTTGACAGGGCTAAGAAATTTGCCCTAAATCCCACAGCTTATGAGCGGGTTGTTTTCCACTTGTGGGTCCCCCTCTCTCAACGCCATCCATCAGCCCTTCATTTCTCAGGACCTACTTCCCAGCCCGGCAGGTGGAGGAGTTGAAGCCTCGGGGGCTGTGGTCACTGACGGCCCTGAGAGGAGGTCGAGAAAAAGCCACAGCTCACGTAAACTACTGTCAGTTGCATGCAGAGAATTAAGTGAACACTGCAGAAAGGTGGGCATGCAGACCTAAGACCCAATCCCGTCTCCAACTTGTGGCTTTGTCTTCTTTTGACTCATCTAAGTCAGTCATTATCGCCCCCACTAAACAAGATTAACTTTTTGTTCACCCATTATGTGTTCATGGTCAGCTTTGAAAAATACAAGATGAATCTAAAGATCTCACACTTACAAAACCCAAGAGAATCAAAGAGGTCTCAGTAATGCCGTGGGCCATCATTGACTGAAGGCAAGACGGAGAGCCTTCACTGAAGAGGCCATAACTCCTCTCGTCAGAAGATAGAACAGGCGTCAAAGGCCTGTAATGTCAGGTGGATTTCGAGGCGGGTCAGTGAGAAGGGTCCAAACGCAGAGGATGAGTGTCCTTACGGAGACCAGAGCAAGAAGCCACGCGCAGAAATGGGCACGGAGGCCATGGAAGGGAAAGAAAGGCCTCCCTGCAGGCAGCTGGGAGTCACAGGTCAGCCACCAATTTTGGATACTAAGAAACTAAGGGTGTATGCACTTAATATGACTAGAACACCTTGGTGGCCTAGGCATTAACTCCAAACACCTGGATTCCAGCATTTTTTTTCTTACATCATGCAGAAGACTTCCAGAGACATGACCCAGGAAGACAATGGAGTTTTGGGTCACCTGTCTTCACAAGCATGGCGTCCTGTGACTGACTGTTAGTGGGGACTTCTCAGGGCTGATTGTATGTTAGAGACTCCTTGACATCTGGGAGGAAAGAAGCCCATTTCCTGTGTGAATGCAGTGTTTCCTACACTCACAAGGACCTGAGAACCCATGTGTGTGAGTGAGGGTGAGTGTGTGTGGGTGTGTGCACCACTGACCTGAACTCCCTGCTGAGCTGGAGTTACTAGAAGCACATTTCTCAGAAACACCTTTATTTCACTATCTCAGGAACTTGGCAAGGAATATTTCTAGAAAAACACAGTCTCTTATAGTTCTTAATAAATACACAGGATATAAGATTCAATGTAAACCCCAAAGACGCATTTTTAATGTACCTGTTGGTGTTGGCTCCTCCACAGAAGTGATGGATTCGATTGTTATGTCCACAGCTACAGAGAGCAGAGAACACCAATCAGTAATGAAGAGCACCCAAGGACAGGCCGAGGCTAAGCAAAGGGAAGGCAGCTGGATGCCCCAGGCCAGCATCATGGTTTCCTTGTGGAAATCTAACATGAGAAACTGGTTCTAAGGGGCCTACCATAGGAAAGAGGTTCATACATCAAAAATTAATATCCCTAATTCAAGAAATACTTTTGGAAAAAATATTTTTGGAAAAAGTATCCCTCCCCCGCCCCTTTTTTTTTTTTTGGTTTCAGGGATTGAACCCAGGAGAGCTTAACCACAGAGCCACATTCCCAGCCCTTTTTATGTTTTATTTTGAGACAGGATCTTGCTAACTTGCTTAGAGCCTCCCTAAATTGCTGAGGCTGCCCTCCAACTTGTGATCCTCCTGCCTCAACCTCCCAACAGCTGGGATTACAGGTGGGTGCCATCATGCCTGGCAACTTTTTTTTTTTTTTAAGGATAAAAGATTTGGTCACTTCAGCAAAGAGATAAGAATAGGCAAATGAAAAAATCCTCCATATCACTAATCTTTAGAGAAATACAACCAAAAATCACAAAAGTGTATCACTATTAGCTCATTATAGTAGAGATACCATAATAGCCCAGCTTAAAAAACAGATAATCCTAAATGTTGACAAGAATGTAGAGAAAATGTAACTTTCTTATGTTGCTATTGGAAGTACAAAATGGCACTGCTACTTTGGAAAACAGCTTGCAGGCTGTACGTGAATATTTATGATAGCTGTATTTGTAATAGTAAACATTAGAAATAATTTCAATGTCCATCAGATAATGCATGGAGAAACAAATTTTGATATATCCATAGTTAGCAATAAAAAAAGAAAAGAACAAATGTCTGATAGGTGGAATTACATGGATGACTCTCATAAGCATTAGGCCAAATAAAAATATCCCAGTGCAGGGCTGGGGTTGTGGCTCAGTGGGAGAGCATTAGCATGTGTGAGGCACTGGGTTGGATTCTCAGCACCACATATAAATAAATAAACTAAAGGTCCATTGACAACTAAAAAAAAAAGAAAGAAAGAAAGAAAGAAAAAGTCCCCGCGCAGAATGCTCTGGGGGTGTTAGGCACGATTCCAGGAAAGGCAAACCTAGAGAGCCAGACACCATACTGGTGTTGACAGGGTTGGGGCTTAGGCGACATTTAACTACAAAGGAGCAAAGGGAACTCTATAAGGCAGTGGAAGGGCTCTGTGTCCTGATGGGGGCAACAGCTTCACAGTTGTAACCGTTACGATGCTTTGAACTACATGGTAGTTTTTACTGTAGGTAAATTGTACTTCAATAAGCCTGACTTTCAATTAAAAATTAACTCTGCACATAAACAAAGGCTTAGAACACTGGGGACACACAGGCACCGAAACCAGGTAGACATCTGTGGTCACTCAGAAAGAAAGGGGAGATGAAAGCCTGGGTCAGGTGGGTGACTGTCAGGGGAAGAGGAGGCCAGGAAGGCGCCCCTGGGTCCCCAGCTATAAATGGAGAATAAATTCCTCCACAGAGACCTATTTGAATAGGACTAGATATCCAGAGGGTTGAAGGTATTTTATTTTTAAAAAATATTTTTTAGTGTTGATGGACCTTTATTTTATTCATTTATTTATGTGCGGTGCCGAGAATTGAACCCAGTGCTTCACACATGTGAGGCAAGCATTCTGCCACTGAGCCACAACCCCAGCCCCTGAAGATATTTTAATAATTTACTTAAATATCCCTGCTTGGACGTGAAGCTCTGTATATAAATAATAAACATGTAAACAATTAAAACATAATAAGTTCATGTATGTAAAACACATAAACTGAAGACAACTAGGGAAGCAACTCACAAAATGTGACTTACTCTGGAGACTGGAGTTTGATGATAACGGAGCTGGTGAAGGTGCTGGTGATGGTGACAAGGACAGCGACGGCATCGAAGATGGACGTGAAGACGAGGCTGGTGACCGCAGCGGTGAGGACAACGATGGTAAAGCTGAGGACGATGATGGTGAAGATGAGGAGGAAGGTGATGATGAAGGTG